TTTGCACTCTCATCCTCATCAGGCCATTGTTACACTATACCAAGACCAGGCTGGCCCTCCCTGGTGGCGCAGCGGGTTAAAGCACAGCACTGAGAAGCTAAAGCCACTTCCGCGTGAGTTCGATTCCCGTCTGCCCCGGAGGTGACCACATGGCGTGGCAGACCTCTCCTGACCCGCCCGCTGCTCCCCTCAGCAGTGTACTTCTTAGATCTGCCTGTTCTGCTCCCCACTCTGTCTCTGGTGAGGCCTCTTGCTGCCCCTGAGCCTCTGGCCTGTACCCCAGTTCTGTATGCACAAATAAATAAATCTTAAAAAAAAAAAAAAAGACCAGACCTAAAATATATAACAAAGAAAACTCCAGGAATGGAGTCCAGCAGGAGGCAGCAGAGTGGACTCCAGGCTTACCTCCTCCACATAGTCACAACCAAATTAAAATAAAACAAGGACAAACCCGGTACATCCGAACCCCTGCTCAGCAGAAAGGGGTAGGGAAACTTGGATTCGAATTGTGTCTAGAGCAAAACCAGTGCAGTTGAGCCCACGCGAGGGATTGACATCTGGGGGGGGGAGGGTCTTTGCTGTTAAGAACTCAAGTGCACACGCCTGTGTTAAACACAAGACACCACAGCGCCCTCTCTGGTGGCACAAGGGTTCAGTCTCAGCACTGTGAAGCTATCTGCAGCCCAGCCAGGAAGCTGATCCGCATGGCGAGCCAGATCTCTCCCATCTCACCGCTGCTTCCCTCAGCAGTGAATTTCAGTAGATCGACCTGTTCTGCTCCCCACTCTGTCTCTGGTTAAATCCTCTCACCTCTGATCTGCACTCCAGTTCTTGTACACATAAATAGAATAAATCTTTTTAAAAAATCCACAAGACACTATGCTAGAAGGGGCGTGCACTTGGCGTGCAGGACAGAAAGTACAACACTGGGCAACTACAGGTGTAGGGTTGCAATGTGAGGCTTACTGGCTTGAACCTGAGGCTCCCAAACTAGAACAGTTGGTGCCCCAAATGGGCAGGGAAAGCTTGAATGCATCGGCTGTGCTCGTTTTCATACTAAAAATTCAAGAAGAATAATTCCCTAGCTCAATGATAGACTCCACCTGGCACTGTCTGTTGCTCAGCCACAACTGAGAGGTTAAGGCTGGCAAGAGACTGTGCAACTGTGCAAGACATGTTGGCTGAGGAGTTGGCCTAGGGGAGCACACTATGGATCAACCTCACACAACTTGGGGACACAGCGCTACAGGAAGCTTGAACCCCTGAGGTTCCCAGAGGCAAACTTTCAGGATCCTACTGGCCTGGTTCACCAGGCAAGTTCATTGAGTGAACACGTACAGTGTGCTTGGCAATGGTATTCAGACAGCAGCGTGCTTGTTTTCCTTAAGGCGTTCACAGCATATTGGAAGAGACAGAACTATGAGCAAGAACAATCAGGGGCCTGGCTGGTTAGTCTGAGTCTTTAAAGATGAACAGAAATGTGCCAGGCAATCGTGAGGGTTGGAGGCAGGGAGGCCATTTGAAGCAAGGGGAATAAATAGTACAGCTCAGACAACCAGGCTTATTCTACAGGCGCAAATTGTTCTTTATTGTTAGGGAAAATTTGGGTAAAAGGGCAGATTATGTGGCAAATAAAAGCGAAAAGGCAGACAGGACCACTTGGGGCTCTACTCTGCAGAGGGGTGGGGAGTTATTGCACAAGGTTGAGCAAGGGAGAGATGGCAATTTGAGTGAGAAATCTCCATAGTTCTGGAGGCTGCTAGTGAGGTGAAGGCAAGGAGAGTCGGGAACTGGAGAGTGGGGGAAGCTTATTGTGTGTGTGTTTGAAGGAGTTTGCCCAATAGAGGACAAAAAGGAGCCACCTTGGCATTTGAGAGACAGAGCTGCAGGGCTTGCTGAGTAATGTCATGGGCTTGAGAAAAGACTGCAAGCAGATTTCTCCTTTGAGAGGTCATGGGCTCAGACTGCAGACCCACCCACTGCGGGATGAACAGGATGGGCATTGGGGGCAGGCAGGGAGCTCACATGCCAAGGACAGCGTGGTGCGGTTTTGCTCCAGGACACCAAGATGGAGGATGTGGAAACAGAAAGTCACTGCCACCAAGACACCAGCTGAGGTCAGTGTGCCTTTTCAAATTTGGATAAGGCTGATTGGAATTCACACTTGTTGGCCTATGAACAGTGATGTGCCCTCTCCTCTGCCCCAGGATTCCTGTGAACACTCAGCGTTAAATTCTTCTGGTTGCTTCAGGCTCTGATCTCCTGCTCCTGGTGAGGCAACTCCTTTATGGCTCAGCCTCACCACACCAGACTCATGGTCCATGCATAGGCTGGCCCGCAGGCCCCTTTCTCTGTTGGGGGAGGAGCCGGCAGCTCCATTGGGGCAATGCAGCTGTTAGGTGAGATTCTAGTCAGAGGGATTGACCTCACAGAAGTGCAAAGGACCACAGTAATTACCTCTCAGATCTTCTCATTTGGAAAAACCCTTTGAAGCATCTCCGACAGCCACTTCCCACTGGGAGTACCTTCCCACGTAGCTCCGCATCCTGTTTCTTGTGAACTGTATCTGCTGCCAGCACTACCTCATTCTTCCTCTAAGGTACAGCCAGAGCCCCCTCTAACCCTTCTTGTGTGACCTTTCTTGTGCTCAGTTCTGGAAATGCCCATTTGCATTTCCAGAATCCATCAAATCTCTACTTGAGTGAAATGGGAATTTGCCCTGTGTATCTATCACCCACTCTTCTTAGAGGGTCATTTTGCAATATGACATACTTCAAAAGATTATGGAAATACACTATTTCCCTATTTCAGTTACTGCCTCACCCTTCTGGCCCTGGTCAATGTGCTGCTTTGGTAGCTGGAAACCCAAGGTGAAGGGTCAGTCCCTGCCATGGTGGGTGGGGGGGCCCTTGGTGTGGGTAGGGCTGGCTCCTTTGGCACCCTGCTTTTCCTCCCCCTTCCTCACTAATGACCGGTGCTGCTTTCCAGGCTTTTTGAAGACACCACACCCCTGACAGAAAGGTGGCACCACAGGGACCTGGTAGGATGGCTCAAGGCAGGGTGGGGTGTGGGGGATGCCTTCCAACATGCTCCAGGCAACAAGCCCCTCGATTGTCCACCCTCTAGGAGACAGGCGTCTCTGTGGTTAGAAACTGCTGGTGGCGCTCGGTATTCATAGTAGTAAGGGATTATGCCCCCACTGAGTCCAGTCTGCGGGAAAAACTCTGACAAATGCTGTACAGAGTGCCAAGAGCGCCACCTAGGGAGGCAAGCGAGGCTGGCACCGAGGGCTCTGGGCTCTGGAAGGAGAGGAGCGCTGGTGTACTGAGACTGAAACATTCCACCAACCGTCCTCATGGCCTGAACCCTGGGTGCACACACTGAGGCAGCCTGGAGGCTGAGCAGAGAGTGACTTCAGCACTGGGGCCCCAACCCCACCCTGCCCAAGAGGGGCACGGAACGGGATGTGGGTTTCATAAAGGACACTCGGCAGCAAAGCAGATGTAATCTGGGGCGAAGGAGCAGCAGGAGGTAAGGAGCAGTCGGAAGGGTCTGTATCCTTCACTTATTTTTTTTAAAAGATTTATTTATTTACGCAAACAGAACTGGGTTACAGTCCAGAGGTGAAGGGGCTGTGAGAGGATTCACCAGAGTGGGGAACAGAACAGACAGACTGATGAAGTGTACTGCTGAGGGGAGCGCTGAGGGTCAGGAGAGGTCTGCTGGCCGTGTGGGTCAGCTCCCCACCTGGAATCGAACTCATGTTGCAGTGACTTTGGATAGCTTCATAGTGATGTGCTTTAACCCTTCGCGCTGCTAGGGAAGGCCCCATCCTTCACTTCTGCTGCAAACTCATGAGGGCCTCATGGCTGCCGTGTTCCTCACTATCCTGTGCTCAGACAGAGCCTCATACATCAGGAGAAATCTTAGTATCTTAGTATTATGGACTGAGCGTTTTATGTTGAAATAGATTAGGAGATGGATTTTGGGGAGGTGTGGAGATCACAGATTAATTCCCTGGTGAGTGGAATTTGTGCCCCATTAACATTGGAAACCCCCCTTGTACCTTCCACAGATGAGGACACAGTGAACAGCTGACATCTGTAAACCAGAAAGACCTTCAGCACATACCAGGCTTGCTGGTACCTCAGGATGCTGAGGTCAATGTCTGTTTTTTTTTTTTTTTAAATTACTTATTTACTTATTTATGCATACAGAACTGGGGGGCAAGCCAGAAGTGCAGGGGTGGTGAGGGGCTTCACCAGAGACAGAGTGGGGAGCAGACCAGGCAGATCGACGAAGTACACTGCTAAGGGGAGCAGCGGGCGGGTCAGGAGAGGTCTGCCACGCCATGTGGGTCACCTCTGGGGCCCGGGATCAAACTTGCACTGAAGTGGCTGTGGCCAGCTTGCAGTGCTGCGTCCTAACCCATTGTGCCACCAGGGAGGGCCCCAATGTCTGCTTCATAAGCCACCCGATCTATAGTATTTTTGTTCTTGTGGTCTCAGACACAGCCCAGAAAGCACGCAGTGGGAGGTGAGACGGCCTGGCTGAGGCAGAGCTCCTGGCAGACACCTCTTGCAGCAGAGGTGGGGCTGCGGTGGGCAGGCTCGGCCTAGTGTGGGCCACAGTCTGTGGTGACAGAACTGGCTACTGCAGGAAGCTGCCACTGCAGGGCTTGCCCGCAAACCACACTAAAGGGTCTTTTCTGCTGGGGTTGCTTGGCTCTTTCTGACAAATGCCACCTTTGGTTCCTTAGGCTGCTTATCCGGGAAGGCAAGTAGTGATGATGGGGACAGCACTCACTCTCGGGGCTGGTGGGAACCCTGGGTCTACCGTAGCCTTCTGCCTCACCTGTCATGCCCCCCAGTGCCCCTCAGATCTAGTTTTATGGTTGTCAGGACAACATGAAATTAACTAGGGTTGGGAAACAGGGGACCCCAAGGTTCTGTGTTCTTAAGGAAAAAGGAAAATAAGTCTTTGACCAGAGTTTGATTGGATTAAAAAAGTGTATTGGATTTCCAATACTAAATAAAAACATGAAAATTTTTTTTTAAAAACCATAGTTTACAGCATCAACTACAGAAAAGGCCAAACAGGTGTGTACAGAAACCAGTCCCCAGCAGTCCTCCAGGCCCCCCTCAAGCAGGCAACAAGGCAACACACACATTTGTTCCCAGTCCTCCTGAAGGAAGCTGCTGAGCTGATCAACTAGGACATTACAAGACACACAATGGTTTTAGTTTCAAAAATCACAGGAAAATGTAAGAAAATGTATTAAATTGTGAAAAGGTGCAATACAGAATAGTTTTCCTTTTTCTTAATTTTAAAAAATCCCCCAACTTTGAACAGTTACTTTATTTAAAAATAGGCCCTCCCCACCCGCCCCAGTTCTGTGGCAGTATCCAGGACCCAAGGCCCTGAGGTAACAGAAGTGTCAGGGTTCATGGGGGGGTGCCCCGAATACCCAGCATGTGTCTTTGGGCAAAAGGTTAAGGGACTTTCTGGGGAATCTAGTCTGCCTGGCATCCAGAGTGCTCTTTTCAGATCAGTTTAAGTGCACTGGTTTTGCAGAACCCTGCCCGCACCATCCTCTGTGACGGTCAGCATTGCACATTTTATTGCCCCCCAAACAATAAATAGAGTTCATCTCCTAGAAAAGCAAATGTGTGTTAAGACCTAAAATGGGAAAGGACCAACGTCCCAAGGCAAGTGGCCTGCCAGTGGCCATGGGCCTCGGCAGGCAGGCTGGGGCGCCCACTGGTGGTCTCTGCAGCTGGTCCCTTCTTGGGTTCAGAACCCAGTTCGCTTTCTATCCTCTTCTGGGGATCTGTTGGGGAGTATGGGAAGAGGCCTGAGGGCCAATCCTTTATCTTTTTAATAATACATTCTTAGTATTTAAAAAATCACCTCAGCTCCTTACTTTTAGAAGAAAAAGAACACAAGAAGTACGTGTAAAGGCAAAGGCTTCTGCATGTGGCCAGGCCTCTCAGCGCCTCACAGAAACCTCCTGCCGCCCTGTTGGAATCTGGGCTGAATTGGGCTTCAGATATGGAGAGGGCAGCTGCCGCCACTGTCCCTCTCTGTGTCCTCTCCCCTGCTGCCTACAGAACAATGTTCAGAAAGAGGTGCGAGCTGCCCTTGTGCTGCAGCTCTCCCTGCCTCACTCCTGCTGATGCTTTTTCTGGAGGGTGCTGGCACATGGACGGGGAGTGACTGGCTGAGGACAGGGCCCAGAGAGAGCAATCAGTTCTGTGTGGAAACCAAGTTCCTTCCTCACTTTCCAGCTTCCCCCGAGGGCCAAGGAGCACAGCTGGCCTTTCTCTCTGCTTCACAGGAGGGGAGGCTATTCCCACTCCAGAAGCTGGGAGTACAGCTTCAGGACATGGACATTTTTATAGCTCTGACCAAGACATCAGGGTAGTAAACCCTCAAACCCACAGACTGCACAGAAGAGCTTGACTAGATCCAAAGAAACTCCAGTTGCAAGTGACAATAGATGGACATGCCAGGAAAGAACAATAAAGATGCTTCCATTCTCTGCAGGCTTCTGGAAGAAAGTACAATGACCGAAACATTCACAGGACCTCAGCAGCCCCTCCGCGTCCTATTACCCCCAAACCCACCCCCACCCCAATACTGAAACTGCACAGAAAGCGACAAACAAGTCTTTTCAATGTTACATTTCATTCAAATAGATCTGTAATCTCACAGTGATGAGAGGAGAAAGTCAGGCCTTTAATAATTATAATAAAAAAATAATAAAAAAGCTTACAAACAGCAATGCAACATTTCTTCCCCCCTCCCCCAAAGTGATGGATTAACAGCTGGTAGAGGATGCAATGACTCAGAACTAAAAAAAAAAAAAAAAAAACCAAGCCAAGCCCAGTGGATAAACCCACACTGTCCATATGCAATTCAAACAAGTAGTCAAATCAAATGTCAACCACTGTAGAGAAGACCATGGATTTCCTTGGGTTTTGATGGTTTTTCTTTTGAAGGTAAAATAAAATAGGACACAAACAAAATTGTACATAAATGCCAATGTCTACACTCCATAAAGGCGATGCAGTTGTAGCACGAAGATGCAGCCTGACCACAAAGTGAAATGTAGGTTGCACTTCTTGTCTCTCCCCTGGACACAAACTTTTGGCCCATGGTGCCCATCCTGCAGGGTGTCAGCAGGCAATGGGAAGCTGCCTTGGCACAGGCTTCTTCCAGGCCGACCAGGAGAAGGCCGGCGGCCAGGCCTGGACTGCCCCACGCGGAGATGCTGGCTGGCCGGCTCACTCACTCTGTGTTCTCGTGCTGTCCTCTCGCACTCTGTACAAGTCCTTGCATTCAAGGCGAAACCCAAGACTTCGAGACTCAGGTCTGGAGTCATGTTCTGGTGCAGGGCGTCATGCTGTTGTGATGGCGTTTAGGTCCTTCATTAGTCCTTCCAGGTGGGCCATCTCTTTGGTCAGCTCATCTGGTTCATAGCTCTAGGGAAAAGAGAACACTGTCACTGGGCTGACCTGAGGAGCTGTCAGAGGAGAACCCAGGGAGAATGCTCAACGCACAGAGAGGCCAGTGGTAGAATGGTCCTGAAAGACTGGAACACTGAAAGCCTGCTGGGCCGAAAGGCAGAGACTGCTAGATGTGCCCATGCAACTAGAGTGCCAGGCTGGCAGTTACTCATCAGCAAAACACCTTTCTCCCAACACATGTTCCCCAAGTCCTAATAACCTTGTAGGTCAGCAGGCTCACCGCCCGAGTCTTGGAGGGTGGTACTATAGCCAACACAGTTGGGGTGTCACCTATCTTTCCTTAGAGAGCCCTGTGCCTGGAAGTGTAGATGCAGAGTATTTTTACTGGAATCTGAGCGTGAAAGATCAGGAGAGACCCTCTGTGTATTTGTCTTGAGCACTGTTATTCAAGTACCTTCCTCTCCATCACCTTGCTCAGAAAAGGTCAGGAAGTAGAATTGGGGGTGAGAGAACAGATGGATGGTTCAGTCTAAGACAAGAGGATCAGATGGATAGCACAGAATTGAAAAGAAGGCAGGTGGGTGGGTGGGAGAGAAAAAATTTACTAGTGAGGCTGGTTGGACACCAACACTCTGAGACGCACCAGGGTTAGTATGTGAGAAAGCAGACTCAGCCCTCAGCACTGCCCTGGCTCAGGAGATGCTCAGTACACGGGCCCTTAATGAGGGGGCTCTGCTCTGCCCTGGCACAGTCCGGCCAGCACGCGCTCCTCTTGGGACATACTCCCAGACAGCTGGTCGGGTTGATGGGCCATGAACTTACACTCTCGGAGTCTTCCAGCATCCGCGTGGTCTCCTGCACTTCAGGGGCACTGGGAACCACCACTGGCATAGGAGGCCGGCTCCTTCCTAAAGTCCCAATGGAGGCCGTCTTCACCGAGTGAAGATGATGGTTGAGAGCTGAGGGAAAAGGGCACCATTAGTGGTATGGGTCAAGTTTGTGTCCCCTAGACTTTAGGCCCCTAAGGTCCAAATGTTGCTTCAAGGTGAGGGACACACACAGACCCAGAGATGATCTACTGGACTGGAAGAGGGAAAAAGCCAGGAATCCAAGAGACAAAGATAACATTCCATCTGGTTTTAGAAAACTAATGTCCTAGTTCAATGTTCTCAAAGTGTGGTGGTCCATGGACCTCTTGCAGAATATCCAAAAAGTATAAAAGAATTCTCTTTTATAATACTGAACAGTTTCTCCTGTTGTACAAAAAATAGTGGGTAAAACTGCTGGAGCCTAGCACAAATTAAGGTGGAGGCACCAAACTGCTGTCATTCACTGACATGAGCCTGCAGCTATTTTTTTTTTTAAGATTTTATTTATCTTTGCATAGAAGAACTGGGGTATAATTCAGAAGTGTGGGAGGGGAAGGGGAGAAGATTCACGAGAGAGAGAGAGTGGGGAGAACAAGTAGATTTACTGAAATACACTGCTGAGGGGAGTAGCAGAATCTGCAGCTTTAAAAAAAAAAGAAAGCAAATTTAACTTAAGATAATTCTTAATGAAGTAGTAAAAGTTATGGTAAATCTAGACTTGATTATATATTTGAAATATTCTATGTGACAAAATGGAAAGCATGCAGCAAGTCTGGTGTCATCTTAAAGAAGGCATTTATGAGTTTGCGTTGTGAGGTGTGTTGCTTTTATCACTGAACATCAATGGGAGTTCAGAGAAAGAGTGACAGACAAACTGGTTATTTGGACTTGAGCATCTGGTGGACATTTTCTAGAAAAGGCACTAGGCCTGTCCCTTCAAGGAAAACAACGGATGGCATTTTTTTGTTGTTGCCAATGGTAAAATCAAGTGTCAAGTGAAATCAGAAAAACCTATCTGTCACATGAGCTTGAGAGTGCCCTGATGTTAACAGGCCTTGGTGTTATGGCTAAGTGTATTTGTAGATGCTGTATAATGAATATATCAAGAATCACAGGATCTGGGCCCCCTTGTGGTGCAGGGGTTAAAGACACAGAGCTATCAAGCTACTGCCAGCTTCTACAGCATGGTTTCGATCCCTGGTTGGCCAGGGAGCCGACCCACATGGCCCAGCAGACTTTTCCTGTCTTGCCTGCTGCTCCCCTCAGCAGTGTGCTGTATCTGCCTGTTCTGGTTCCCCACTAGGTCTCTCGTGAATCTGCTGCACCTCTGGCCTACCCCTGAGTTCTCACATGAATAAATCAATAAATCTTAAAAAAATAAAGAGAATTATAGAGTCACTATATAGGATGGTCCATATCATGCACTCCAGATATAAAGCAGATAGACTTCCATGAGAAAGGGTACAAACGGTTCATGGATATGTTTTGACTCCACATTACAAACCAACCTATAAGAAACGACAACTTGTAGAGTTCTGTTGCACTGTCCAAAGACTATTCACAATTATTTGAGAAGTTACAGATGTGCTCTTCTCTTTTCCAACTACTCTGCAAGACCAGATTTTCTTATACTGCAAACAAAACAATATACTGCAACAACCTGAATGCAAAAGCAGGTATGAGAACTCAGCTGTTTTGTAAACCAGCAGAGATTTGCAAAAACTGAAGACACTTACTATACTTTTGCTTTGAAAATAACTACGTTTTCATAAAAATGTTACTTATCCTAACATAACTACTTTATTTTTAGAAAGATAAAATAATCAAAAAATTTCCTGACTTTCACTTATTTCTAATACAGTAGACACTGATAGATATAGCCCATGTAAAATAAAGCTCTTTCGTGGCCTCATGAGCTTTTAAGACTATCAGGGGGTCCTAAGACCAAAAAGTTTGATGGGCTACAGCCTCATCCTGAAACACTGTGGAAGTAGAGGGGCAGTGTGTGTTCAGGAGACATTGTGGAGCTGTGTGGACTCAGGGAGTGGACATCTCTAAGGCTTCATTCAGCAGATTCATTTCCCTGTCCTGAGGCTCCCTCCCATCCTGGTCTCCCTAAGTCCGCTCTAATCTGCAGGGATCTGATGGAGTAAAGTAACCACAGGAGGCTGTTGCTCAAGCCCATGCATACCACTGGATTTTACCACCCAGCATGCTGAATAAATTACCCAAAACGTAATTCAAAAAGATCAGTCCTTGCTCCCCAACAAGTTATTCTCTGGCTCAAACGCATCTCCAAAGGAGACTTCCTAAACACTCCCTGAGTGGGACAATGACACTACTATTTTAAATTGTTGAGGCAAGCAAAGAGATTGCTTGCTCTGCCATTTTTTGGTAACTTCTGCCAAAGCAGGTGTCGCTGTCTTCACTCACCTTGCTGCGACAGTAAAGGTGTGCTTGGCAATGCAGGATCATAGGTGGGAGGTCCTGGGGGTGGGATGGCTGGCACAGCAAAGCTTTTCAGTGGGTGGGAAGGACGAACGTGTGCTGTGGGAAGACTCTGGCCTGAATCTTCCTCTTGGGAGCTGGCCAAGTAAGAGGAGCTGGTAGCACCTTCTGGATCCTGGTGGTCAGTACAGCACGTCTGTGATGAGGAGGCTGGCATGGTGTCCGTGCTGGGGGTGTTTCGAACAGATTCTATAGTGGGAAAGTCTCATTGTTAGCATTTATTTTGTCATTAACATAAGCATATCCCAGGGCTCTGGGGCTACTTTTACATTAGCTCAGTAAGCACTGGGGATTGGTATTAGACCAAGGAAAGGTGATCAGTTCCTCTGCCTAGGTTAAGGATAGACTAATCCTCTGAAAGTCTCAAATAATTTTTTCAACTTACTGCTGGAACTCTTCACCTACACAGCTAGCTAGGTGGATACAGTTGTATAGATTTTATTTTCCTCAGTACCTACTATTGAGCATACATATAAGTTCCTGAAATTAAAATGCAAATTAAGTACAAAAGAAAATTAAAAATCTCATTCACTGACTGCAAGTCTTAGAGACAGGCCTTTTAAAGACAATGTGTCTAGTCACCAAAGGCTGGCTAGGTCCATGACAAGCACTAGCTGCCTCTGTGGCCAGGTGCAGCTAGTGCCCTGCAAAAGAGGCGATGCCACAAAGCTCAAGAGTGACCTGTATAACCAGGCAGTCCAGAGGTCTGCAAATCACTTTAAAAAATCACACCATGTGAAGGATGCTTTGGTCCAGAGAAAGAAAGAGATTAGCAGGGGTGGAGATGTTCTGGAAGGCAGAGCAGTGGAGTAGAGAAGGCATTGGCTTTGGAGACGGAGAGACCTTGACCCTAGTCTTGGCAGGCTAGCTGGGTGAACCGGGCAGTCACTGTGCCTCTTTGAGTCTCAGTTTCTTCACACTGAGAATAATATATAATTCACGGAGATTTAAATGAGAAGATGTATAAAAGTGCTGAACACAGTGCTTGAATAACAAAGTTCTTTGTAATTGACAAAGTGCTCACTCTGAGTGAGTCACTACATTCAGTGTACTTATTTAGCTCATTCAATTCTCACATTAATACAGAAGGCACTAGGAGGTTAATCCATGCCCAAGGACAAGGAGAAGGGATGGGGCAGGAATCTGGATCTCTGCCCCCTCAGTCCCACACCTGTGCTCTGAACCACTTCACATTTCATGCCTGCCCATCCCCAACGCTACCCATCCCTGATCCTGCAGGGGCAGACGCAGCATCAAGGCCCCTAGGGATGCCTTTCAAACAGCGTGGGCTGAGGAGGGTCAGCTTCCCCACCCTTGAAGTAGAGCCTGGTGTACCAGCTCAGGGCAACTGACTGCACCGGGTAACCTGAAGGCGAGCCTCCTGTGAGCCAGGTAACCTGAAGGTGAGCCCCAACCCCTGAATCCTAGAGCTCTCAACCTTAAGAAGAAAAACAAATGCTTAGTAGAAAAGCCCGAGTACCTTGCAGAGATCCTACCTACTTCCCTGTCTTTGCTGCTAAGTGAGCAATGAATTTGTTCCTTTGGGCTCTCAGGTGCCAGGCCAGGTCAGTCAGGAATGCCGTATCCTTAGCTTAAAGGTCTTGGGTGCATGGGAGGAGGGACTCCTCAACTGTCAAAAGTCTGGCAGTGATAACCCTACAAGTCTAAGTCACTTCTCACCCTCTGAAGAGGTGGGCTGAGGAGCTCATTTCTCCACTTGCTCAAGCTAGCCAGTGCACAGCTGGGAGTGGCTGACCCCTCTGTGATTCTGGACTGGGTAGAAACTGGCTAGAGAGCCCAAGCTCACATCCAGACCCTGTCACTGCACTGGCAGATAAGTCACGCTGGCTCTGGCACTCAGAGCCCCCTGCACTGCCTCAAATTTGGTGTATGAGTTTCTGTGAGGCAAAGAGATGGTGGGAAATGTGAGAAAGGAAAACAGGACTGCCTGTGTGAGTCAGAGCCCTGGCCTGCTGCCACAGATCAGCGACGTTTTGCCCAACTGTAGAGGGCATTATGTACCTTTCTCTGTGTATTTTTTGTAAAGGGTGTGCTCTGAAGTGGTGCAACATTTGCTGATGAGGAAAACTATGCTATAAAAAAATGCCTTGGTGTGGGGCTTAACTTAACTTATCTTTCAGAGTTGTTTAAGACACACAAGTTCACAGTGGCCAAGGTCCTGGACAAGTAGATAGAGCTCTTCTTGTTATATGGTAGGGGCAGTGTAAAGGCCCAAGGAAAAGGCCCAGCAAGTGAGCAAGGACTCTGAGGCCAGATTCTAGTCAAGTCCAACCGTAGGTTCAGACAGCACTGGGCTCTGGATATACAGGGCTTAGGGAAATACTTGGTAAAAGAAGTCTGATTCCATCCAGATACTTGCTCTACATTTCAAATCCATCTTACTGAGCCTGTTACTAGCTTTATCTTCTTTTATCCAATCATCAAAGTGAAGAACCCTTTAGTACTGAAAATTATTACATTTTCATCTCTCCTACATTTTCACTTTCTGCCTAGGTCCCTATAGAAGGGAATTGTTACTAACACTAGGCCATTTGGATGAGGGCTGGGTGGGAGCTGACTTTATCCACTCCAAGTCCAAGAGGAGGGATCTGATTGGTCAGAGCACACCATGGATGAAGGTAGGGCTCCATCCTGGTGAGTCAGAGTCCTCGACCCTTAAAATGTAGAAACAGAGGACCAAAACCTGCTTTTGACAAGCAGGTATGGAGGTTGCTTCCAGGGCTGTTCTACCGGAGACTGTCTGTGGGCAGGCTTGTTTCTCCACATGTCTACAGCTGTCTGCCCTGTAGACCATGTTTCCCTAAAGGCAGGATTCCCAGGAGGGAAATAGTAGGAAGGCCAATTTTAGACATGAGTCCAAGCAGTATTCTCCAAGCCAGGAAAAAATTTTGGAATTAGATAACTTGGAGAGTTTTTAGGGCCTTAAAACTTAAGGCTTTGACCTGTATCTGATGTTTTGGGTATATTTATAGCTGATCAGAACTTAAAGGAGAGAGGGATATTCTTGGCAACCCAAACCTTTGGCATGAAATTTTAAAATGGCATTCACTTGTAATTTGTCCCAGAACCACCTAACTCAATTTCTACTAGTAACATTGTAACTACTAATAGATGAGTTTTAAATAACGGAAAAAGAGTATGCTGTATATGGGCAGCTACCAGATTTGCACTTTAAAACCGACAGGATAGACATTAACTTGAGTTCAGAAGGATCAATAATATTCCATTTATTGACTCCCCTTCTATATTTCTCCTTGAAACTGTTTTGATAATGATGCTTCTTAAGATTTCCAAATTGGGACATGTTTGTCTGACACCGTACTCTGTAAACATAATGCAGAGGTTAATCGACCCCTTTTCTGTGGAGATTCTCTATGCCTGTGCAACCCTTCCTAATTTCAGTGACCCACCAGGTAACCTGAGGCTGATAACATGCGCAGACTCACAGAGGACAGCTGTCCCAGATACACATCTGGCAAACGTGCACACGTGTGTGCATAAGAGCTACGGTAAGAAGGTGCCATCCCATGCTCCTCCCCACATTAGGGCGACTACAAGGCAAAGGGCCCTCTAGAGTCTGAAATATCACCCAGAATGACTTTTCCTTTTAAACTGAAAGGTTACAAAAACAAACAAACTAAAAATAAGACTGAATTAAGAAGTTGATGGAACAACACATGGTTATGTGATTATAGCTATTATATATTATAGATAGGGACACAGGCACTAAAATAATACCTCACACTGAGCTCTTAAAACTTAGGAAGAGGGCCCTCCCTGGTGGCGCAGCGGGTTAAAGCACTGCACTAAGAAGCTTAAGCCATTTCGGCATGAGTTCGATCCCCGCCTGCCCCGGAGGTGACCACATGGGGTGGCAGATCTCTCCTGACCCGCCCGTTGCTCCCCTCAGCAGTATACTTTGTTGATCTGCTGTTTTGCTCCCCACTCTGTCTCTGGTGAATCCTTTCACCCTCCGCATCTCTGGCCTGTATCCCAGTTTTGTATGAATAAATAAATAAAACTTTAAAAAAAAAAAACTTAGGAAGAAAATGGGGTAAATTTTATAGAAAGAAATTTGAGTCAGTAGAAGCAAAGTGATGATAAATAAGTGACACTGAGAACAATTCCAAATCTTTCTAAGCCGGATTAAGTCGTTCCCCTTTCAGCTTGCCAACTCTGCGGCGTGCTTTCCACCCGGGCTGTCCTCATCTCTCACCTGTGGAATTGGCCCTGTCTGAAAGGGACATGGATGTGCCAACGGGCCATGGGCTGCCCGGGTGGTAGAGATGACTGCGAGCTGGAGAAGCGAGGCTGCTGGAGTGGAAATGATGGTGAGGGTTATCGAGGGAATGGATGGGATGGGCACTAATCACAGCTGTGAATGAACACAAGACAGAGAAATGCTTAACATGCTTGCACAGACACACAGTCACCACTAGTCACCCACCCCCACCCCCGCAGAACCACCACTCCCTTGGCTTTTGATGGGAGCTGGCTTGATTTGGTTCCTTAGCTATGGATTTTACATTTGTTAACAATAATCAATATACTACTATCATATGCTTTTCTTTCTTTAAAAATCTATATATTAAAAACTACTGGAATTCATACTAAAATTCTTACACTGGTTATTCTGTAAGAAAGAATGGTCAGGTTTTAAAAAAACACTTTTCAAAACCAAGTTGTTGAAACACAGAAACACAAATTAAATGACATATATAGATGCATATTTCCTATTACCAAAAAAAAAAAAAAAATCCAAATGGTATTAACTGGGACAATACCTTTTTCCTATATTCTCTTCTTAGTCTCCTACAATAAACAGGATTACATGAGTGTTTCAAATTATCTATCTGAATATTTGAATATGTCACAAATATAAACCCATAAGCAAAGAAACAATGGTTTACCCTTTGATTACTTTTTTCTCTGGTTCAAAAACACAAAACACTTCTTCTAGCCTATTCCTAATTCTCACTCTGCATTTTCTTACTTTCTTTTTCTTTTTAATAATATAATAGTTTATTTTTGCATCATTTTGTACATTTTCCCATCTCAGTTGTAATCCCCTTGGGCTTCCCATAACCAAATCCCATGTGTCATCACCGTATTCCAATGCATTTCCCTCTCCCAACCTTTTTTTCTTTTTATAGGATTTCTGATTATATATATTATATATATATATATATATAATAGTTTATTTTTACATTATTTTGTGTACTTTTCCATCTCAGTTGGAATCCCCGTGGGCTTCCCATCACCAAATCACCCATGTTATCATCATAGTCCAGTTTATTTCCCTCCCCCCATTTTTTGATCCCATTCCCCACTCCACCCTCATAAAATGTCTCTGGTATACAGCTGTTCATTATTATTATTATTTTCTCGCCTGGTCTGTTATACTCCTGCTATGAGTGAAACCATCTGGTATTTTTCCTTTCTTTCTGGCTTATTTCGCTAAGCATGATCTTTTCCAGCTCCACCCATGTTGCTGCAAAAGGCATGTTTTTATTTATTTTTTTGGGGAGGGGGTCTGTATTTTCCTACTTTTTAAATTAAGCAAGCAAAAGGAATTCATGCCAAATGAATGAACAGCTGTTTAGTCAGCTTCCATCTCTTACAGGAACTCAAATGGCTTGAACACCTATGGTCCAGCCTAATACCAAAGGCAAGACACAATCTGTGACACCACCTCTTCTTGCTGCCAGTTTCAGGGCTCAGTCATAGCTATTTACATTTAAAATACAAAACTTTCCTTCCCACATGAGATAAGGAACTCAATTATTTCATTTAGCTACTGAATCCAATTTTCCACAGAGATATTTTATATACAACTTTCTGTAAAGACAGTATTTCTTTAATGAGGCTTCATTATTGATCCCAGGGCCTGATAGAATTAATCAGTTTGGGAGTAAACTTTGTATACCCTCAGAGAAGCTGCAGAAAAAGAATATTTTAGGTCAAGATAACCAGCTTTAAACCTCCAAATAAGCAAATAGGCAAGGCTGACTAGGAACACAGGCAATCTTCTCTAAGGAAGGCATTCACAAACTTTGTGATGAAAGTTAATTAGCCTGTAAAGTCTGTAAAATGTCTCTAGGCTTGTACGGAGTCACTCAACTTTACTTTAGTGAAGAAAAATCCCAACCAAGAAAGCAGATGCCTTCATTTTTTACTATTTGGTTTTGGTTACAAGCAAGCAAGCAGGTGGCAGAACACCCAGGGACCAGAAGACTCAGGTGGTTTTTTGGAGCAAAACACAGCCTAGCAAAGGGGCTGAGGATGGCTCTCAGGGCAATTTGGGACTTAGCATTTCCTTTAGGAAGATGGAGTGGGGAGATCGTTTGGGACCGGTGTTTTCTAAAACTAAGATTAGGGAGGACAAACCTGACTTTGCCTAGGAAGTGCAACCTGAAAGCATTCTAACCAGAGAGGGCCCTCCCAAAGGAAAACCAAACTGACTTCTTTTTTAAAGTAATTTCTAGTCTTTCCTCCAAATCATGTAAATAAACAATAACAATGTGAATGTGCTTGCCTACCTAGGATATAGTCAGAAATCATTAGCTGTTAGTGAATCAGAACCTGATGCTTCTATGTAAGAGCTGGATTGAACCTCCCAAACCTCCCCTTTCCTAACAGTGCTCAGGTATTCTATGTTAGGGTAGCTGGAGGTGGATACAAGTTCCAGGGAATTCGAGCTTGTAAAGAGGATGGTGGTCATGCGAGGAAAGGGGTGTCTCAAAACCTGAAGGGCACAAGTACATCTGGGCACTTGTTTTCAGGTTATTGAATTAAAAGATTCCACTCACCTACCCAACTGTTGTAACATGTATTAAGTATATATGTTCATGCATACTCTTTCCCTACTACCACAAAAAATAAAAAATAAAAAATATATTGACAAGTACCATACTTTTTTCTTAACATATTCAAAAGTCAAATTTTATGTTTGAAAAATAGGCCAGTTCTGGTAAGAGGTGAAGTCTTTAAAAAAAGAAAAAAAGCTACCACCCTGGAATGTATGACTATTTCTTTTGGACATCTATGATGTCAAATTTGGAGACCTTGACCAGGGTACTGCTCATAAGTGGAAAGCTACAGCTTTTCCCTGTATGCTTTCAAGGAGACGCTTCTTTTCATCAAAGACTCTAAGCAAAACCTACTTTGTGCAAAAATGACCTATTGTGGAATATATCCATGTCTTTCAAAGCTGACTTCTAGAATCTACGACCTACGTGTGTGTGCGCTGCGAGTGAGAGAGGGGTGTGTGAGGACAGCTATGTGCTAGGCGCTCCACTGCCTTCCCAGTACAGAGTGCCATGGAGCATCTCTTTGCAAATAGAAAATATGTGATTATCCAAATCTCTGTTACTTGTTGACAGAAAGAAGGCTGAAAATTTAGAAATGAAAAATATTTTAAGAAATGAATAAAAAATTCAAAAGCTCATTTAGGTTAAACTTAAAAGAGATCTTTCAGGATTTGATGCTTTCAAGATTTTAATCTAGTCATCTTACAGTGTTGAGACTTAGTAGCTCACTGTTCTACTTACAGCAAATACTCCAAGATCGAAGTTTTTAAAATTTGATATGGGTGGGCAGGTTGCCTCTCATCACGCTAGGATGGTACAGGGGACCACTCTCAGTCCCACTGTGCCAGCTTGTCTGATATAGCTTGAAAACAGGACAAGGGAGGAGATGCAGTGATAAAAAAAGAATTGGTTCATTCCACTGTTTCTTGGTTTTTATACATGACATTTACCTTATTTTGAATTTCAAATATTATTAAAGAACGCTGGGTTACTCTTATCACAGCAAGGCATGGGTCAAGTAAGGTAGGAAAAACCCTGCTTTTAAAACTCCATGCTGTAAATCTAAAACTCCTCTAGAATATAAGGTCTGTTGATGTACCAAAAAAATCCCACAGGTGCTCCCCACACTGATCACGGTGTCAGGAAGCCTAAGAAGCACTGTGACACCCAGCTCCTGAGCCCCTGCCCGGAGGTGAGCTCCTCCTCATCAATCCCACACAGATGTCATGCACCTTTAGGAGACTGGTTACTCCCCTGTTCCTGGGAAATTGGACTTCTAGTTTATTTACATTGAACTTTAGCAAGCTGGCCTCAAGAACAGTAAGAATCGCAAAATACGGCAATTGTTTGGTATTTCTTTCCTTAAGATGCCAAAACTTTGGGACAAAAATCTATTGTGTTAGGATCAAGTGAAGTCAAAAAGATCATTCACAACTGTTTCCCAACATGACTGAATAAACTAGCAGCACTGGAAGAAAAAGTTTTTTAACTTACGTTGGGGTGGCTGGGAGTCAAAGGGCATCATCATTTTTGGTCTCATCCCCCGTCTTCCAGCCAGTGTAGACATGCTATCCTCTGATTCATGCCCTAGACATCAAATATGGAAGTTACTCACAAGTGTGTGCTCTCAGCAACTGAGGAGACACAGCAGTGACCTACCCAGAGTGAGGGCTGAGGACTCACAAACATAATGGGGACAGGGTGCTTCTTTAGAAGTGAACTAGAGGAAAATGATCATTAAACTCTTTCCTGGAGTGCCTGTTGAGAGTCAGTCTAGCTGCCTACCATGCTTCAGTAGGGTGTCTGTAAGAGCATCTGCACCAAGAACATTCTGAACACTACAATGAGAGCTGGACTCCAATGGAAGGGGTAGAATGAAATGTGAGTTCATGGGCTAGTTTGTCTCAAATGCTTGAGTATCAAATTGGTGAGGCCTGCTGAGAAGCCTAAAAGGTTGTCTCTTCTGTGTATAGAACCATTCATTCCTCCATAAGGGCCAGCTATTCTTTACCAGATGTTGACCAAATCCCACAACATGTTTCTTTAAACCCAACCTCATACAGGAACCACCAAATTTAGACAACCTTAGGAACTGCAAAATTATTAAAATGAAAATAATCCCCTAACATATGGGAAAAACTTGCACCTCTGTATGAATTCCGCCTTTGATGGATATTGCTGTCCATGGAATTGTCAACTGGTGTGATATCTTGAGAGTTACGAGGAATTGGAGTATCAGTCATGATGGGGTTTGGGTCTGGAGATTTATCAATGGGTTTCAGCTCCAGTCTCTCATGATGGATCCAAAGGTCTGGGGGTTTGACATCTTTTGAGTTCCCTTTGTACTTGTGGGAGCCATTCACAGATTTGCAAGCAGCTCGTTTCCTAGGCACAAAATTAAGAGAATTTTTAAAAAGTAACTTTTCAGAGTTACAAAAAGCTTAGTTGATTTAAAACTACCCTTCAGGGGCGGCTTCAAGCAAAGTCAGAAACTTAAAAACAAGCAAGAAATTTACTTCTGGAAACAGCAAATGTGTCTCTGCTTTGTCCACACATATTTAGAGACACATACAAGGACATATTTGAGTATTTCCTGTGTCTATTTTTTTTAAATAGCTACAGATTAGACAGGTTTTTTTTTTTTTAAATCAAAAAACCTTTAAAGCAAAAGTTCCTCCAAAAATTTCCAATCAATAGAGAATGAACAACATTAACTAGAAATTAACAAAGAAGCAAAGGCAGAGCTGGTGGCTTATGAAAGAGGAACCCCAACTAGTCAGGAGTGGGAACGACAACATCAAGCTCTCTGTGCCTTAATTTCTCCCTTCCCTCCTCAGTAAGCAGGTACCTACTCTATGTCAAATCCTGTGCTGGAATGCTTTGTCCTCATTATTTCTTATCAAACAAGGGAGACGACTGATATCGAACTATTATTTTAAAAGGCTCTGAGCTTACACCAAGCATTACAGTAACTTAATAACTGAGTATTAAATAGATAGGAAAAATGATATTTAAGCAAATGGATGTAGGGCAGAAGGTGCCTTCCAGGTGGTGCAATCAGTTTATGTCAAATCCCTGTAGCACAGATCAACAGTCTGATATATTGTAAGGACTGTAAGGAGTTCTGAGTGGAGGGAGCAGAGTGAACCATGAGGAGAATGATGCTGCAAAGATCATCAGGGATCAAACAGAAAGCTCTCTGCTGAGAGTCTGAATTTCCTTATCTGAGTAGCAAAAAAACCACTAATGGTTTTAAGGATTTAAGGAGGTCACGTTTGAGGTAAAAAAATTATAGCAACTATAGTGTGAAGAATGGATTTAAGAGGTGGGATTCAAAACAGGAGACCAGCTGGGCTGTCACATAATTTCAGCCAGGATTGAATGGGGGCTTGGGACAGTGGGAATGGAAGAAGAAGTACTCTGACAGCTATTTAGGAGGCAGAAATGACAAAACTTGGTGGATAAATGAATGTGGAGTGAGGTGGAAGTAAAGAATGGTAAAGGATGATGCCAAAGAGTCTGTTTTAAGTCATTTACCAACACTGGGGTTGAAACATGATTGACAGACAAGATGACTAATTCTGGTTTGGACATGCATGTGCTTCTGAGACAGTCATGAGGAAATGCTAATCTGAGACTCAAAAAAGAAAGGCCTTGAGAAAGAAAGATAGGAATCACTTGCAGAGAGCAAGTGAAGCCATGGGAATAGGAGATAACACTCTGGGGAAATAGAGAGAAAAGTCCCTGAAGAATGTCTGCATTTTGTGACTGACAGCTGGAGGGCTGTGAGAAAGAACATATATACAATCATAGAATATAAGGGAAGAAAATGTTTCAACAAGGAAGGAGTAGTTGATATCAAACATTATTGAGAATTTGGCTTTAGCAATAGGGAAATCATTGGTGACCTCAGCAAAGCAAAAATGGTAGGGGCAGAATTGGGAAAGATTCGAAGCATGCATAGACAGCGAAAGAATGAACAAATGAGTACAGACCAGTATTCAAGGATTATGGTTGTGACAGGAAAGACAAGAAGTTATAGCAGCCAGGGACAGAGAACATGCATGAGTGGGAGGGTTATACGTCTAACTGCAAAGATCAAGAAGCTTGAGTACACTTACATGCTGAAGCATGGAGTCAGTAGAGTAAGAGATTAGCTGTGCTGGCGAGAGGGATAACAGCAAGTGCAAGAAAGTCTTAGAAAGAGAGGGGACAATGAGATCTGAGGATAATGAGGAACCGGCATTGGACAAGAGGAAGTACACATAGAAGGGGGATAAGACAATGAGCCCCAAAGTAGAAGCATCCTCAGATCTGATGGTGGTAGACTGAGGTATTTCATCTGATGACGGCCTTCCCTTTTTTCATGGAGGAGGTCATCTTCTGGGAGTGAGGGGATGACAGAGAAATGAGCTGAGAAGCAATGAAGGCTCAGACTTTATATGCGCTGTTAACTTTGAGGCTGTAGGAGTCTATAAACAGCTACCATTGAAACAGGAGATATCCAGGTATCAGAGAGGAAGAAAGTAAGAAAAGCTCACATATTTTTTAATAATTGATGGAAAACAGGTCACAGAGAGATGGAAGGGGAAAGCCCTGTGAAGACTTGACACAATTCTTTTAAACAAAGAGACTCAAATCTGTAGGACTTAAAGCTTCAAATACAGTCTATTATCAACCCATTTCCCACTTCTAGATCTGAAGACTAAGTGCTTTATTTTTCATTTATTTTGAATTTTAAATCCCCCAAAAGCACTAAGCAGCTCTCACTTTTAAATTATTCCTTAAATAAATACCTCAGACTTATAAAACTAGCGATAAAATCAAGTTCACAGACAGATAAAATGCCAAGAAGATAGCAGAACTTTTTCTTTTGTATAAAAAATGTAATCTTTGAAGTTTTTAAAAGACACTGTTTCTATAATCCAAAGTAGACAGGGTGAGATGTAAAAGGCAGTGATCAGACTTACAAAGAAGCCCCCATTTTCTTGGATAAGTGATGCTATGGAAAGAAAGCTATTTCATTTGGGCCAAAAAAAGGATTAAAATCATCAAATAACCTATAGGAAATGATACAGTCATTACTAGCTGCAGTCAGAGGGCAATTTGTTCTTGTCCTTTATGTAAGAAACAAACTCATTAAGTATAAGCGAATCTGACAGATGATCACAAACATGAATTTCTTTTTCCATCTTAAGATCTTTAAGGACACTGCAACCAAAGTTTTTGGTTTTGATATTATGGGTAACTCAGGAACTCCCTTTTCTTATGTCTCACGGGCCAGGTACATGAACTGAATGTAATCTAGGGTCAAGAATTCTGTCAAGTTTCAAAGTATAGGCTGTCACCAAGCTCTACATAACAATCTCCTCGCTGGCTGCTTTACACAATCAGCCACAAGCTTCAAACTCCCAGAGGAGTTCAGGGCCACCAAGCATTTGCCCTGTGAATTTGTTTATCAATGATTTTTCTTTATTCATTAAATCAATCCATCTCTATCTGTCTCACCCCAGCAGGCCCCAACTTTAGCTTTTGCACTTGGAAGCACTTCTTTAAAGATACGTAAACTGAGATTTAGAATAAAGGCCTATGGTCTGTTTCCATCTCCGCTGGCATCTGCGCTGTGAAGGAGCCTGCACACTCACCACACCTACTCCTGTACCCTGGCTCATGGGGTGCGTGTGCATACAGCACTCCACAGCAGCCTTCAGGATGCTGGATGGGTCCACACTCCACATCAGACCCTGTCTCTACTTAGGAGAGGCTGAGCAAAGTAAACTGCATCTATCTGGCAACCCTACCCCTGGTTTTTGTTGGGTTGTGGCCAATAGAAGGTACAGGCAGGAGCCTAGAAACAGGGTTTTTCTTTCCTGCCTGCTCCCCACTGGTTTAGAATCTAAGCAATGGCAACATTCCTAGCACCAGACAGAGTTGCATTAAGGAGTTCTCTCCTATTGCTTCAGAACTCTGAAGAACTTTTGTCCTTTAAAGCTTAAAGGCAACAGTGGCCTATCACTGCTGTTGTCCTTTGAATATCCCTGCCTGGTGTCTCCTCTCCCTACCTGTGATTTATTGGCCCCTTCAATAAATTCACTCCTGGTGAATGTGTACCTCTTTCCCAGGCAGACCCTTGATAGATACACATTTATAAAGGAGACTATTCTGCATTTTCTTTAAAAATATTAAAATACCTCTTTTCCTGAACTTTATGTTTTAACTATGTGTACCACTCCACATATAGATGTTACATACAAGCAATAAAAAGCTATCCCAAATCTACGGGCTATATTTGGGTCCTTACTTTTTCTGGTGTGAGGTGGTACGTCTTGTGCAAAAGACAGCAATGATCACGACAACGACTATGGTGATGACACCAACAGACACGATGATGACCAGGAGCATGTTGCTGTCTAGAGGAGAGGTGGGGCTTCCATGAGGACTGTTACTTCCTGGAGAGGGAAAAGTTACATTTCATTAGGGTTAGAGAACTCTCAAACTGCATGCAATCAGGCTATAAACCTTCATGTAGAAACAAAAACTCCATGTGAGCTGCTTTGTGGCATACATCACAAGCCTTGTGTTAGTGTCTGCCAAACAAGACTGTCTCCTCTATTATGCCTTATGGATAATTTTCTTGTGGCTTGCACAAAGTTGGTGTTCATGAAACCTTCTCAAACTGTACTGAATGTTACTTATGGACATTATGGGTTGGCCCTTCTGATGTCATCATCTTGTAAAGCACCTTCTGTAAATCATTTCATTTTCTGCTTTTCAAAACCTTTTTAAAAGCATACATTCATAGAAAGCAAGTTCTTTTCAAAATATATATAGTTATCAGAGATCACAAAAAATTACTTGAAAAATAGTTTGTTTTATAAACACAGTCTATGCAGAATTAATGCTCCTATTCAATTTCAGGAAAAAGATGTGTACATATACATTAATTTGACCAGAATTTATTAAGTGTTTATTATGTGCCAGGGAAAAACAAAGATGTGAATATTGGGGTGGGAGTGGGGGCAGACTATATAAAATCAAAAAATTATTGGTTAGTAGTAAGTGTTATGAAGAAAATAAAATGAAGGGATTATGACAAAGAATGACTGGTGGTTAATTTAGATTGAATGGTAGGAAAAAACTCTGAGAAGGCATTTGAGCTAAGATTTGAATGACAGAAAATGTCACACCACACTAAGACCTGAGGGGAAGAATATTCTATAGTTGAATGTTCAGCAAATAGAAGGTTTCTTCTAGCTAATGGGAGGCAGGAATGAACTTGGCCTGCTCAGAAAAGAGAAAGGTAGCCCAGTATTGCTTAAGCAAAGAGATATGCAAAGTTAGAGGGGAGAAAGTGTGCAGGATAAAAAGAAGAGCTGGAGAGGCCAGATTGTTGAATATGTTGAGGAAATTTAGATTTTCTTCTTCCTGCTGTCATTTCCCCAATGTTTTCAGGGTCTTCTCTATCTTTTTATCAAGGCCTTTTAAAATCTAGCTCTATTATAAGTCTTGTCTTCCATTTTCTGAAACCTATTTCTTCGCTTCCCACCTGATTATTAAAGTTATACATACTCAGATTATAAAATGTGATATCCTACTACATAAATCTAACTACTGTGAATAACTGATGTCTTTTCTTCCAGTTTTTCTTCTTTTATCTGGCAATCAGAGCTGTACAGTAATGGGATGAATTACTTTGCCAACTAATAAGTCTTAAGTCATTCTACCAGTCTGGGATATTGTGGAAGACATTCTTATCATGAAGGAATGTCCTGGGAATCTACGCTTCTAGAAAAGTTCCTAAAGTAATTATAATTTTGATTATAAAATTATGATCTAATCAAAATGATAATCACTTTGGGAATCCTTCCATAACACTGGGTTAGGTGACCTTCCAACTTTGATTCTATAATTTTAGAGGCTACGTTTAAGCATGACACTAAATCTGGGCCTGATTAGGACCTTATTCTTCCATATCTGATCGAATACATTTTACCCTATGTTTCATTTTAGACAGACAATTTATGTTGTACACCTTCAATAAAGTAACATTAGGGATAAACTATGGGAGCCAAAGAAATCAGATCAGGTTCTATATAAAACTTTTAACAGCAGAGTTAAGCTAGGAGGTGGGATAGATGGTAGGGTAAGGTAGGGTAAGCAGCGCAAATCAGAGACTGGTGAGCTGGGGTGTATGAGGCAAGCAGAGGTGGCAGTTGCTCTTGCTTACATTCAACAGAGATGAATTCTCATTTAACTCATTTGAGCTCCACATTCTGAGCTGTCTAACAGCTCCCTTGTAATAAGAGTATGAGTGAGCTGAAAAAGGGAGCTTCGATCCTCCTACCAAGAACATTAATATAGTCATTTGTTAAGCGTCACTTGGATGACTGCAACAGCTCCCTAACTCTTCCCTGGTTTCATACTCTTAGCCACTCATTCTTCACTATCAGAGTAATAATAGATAATAATGGAAGTCACAGTATGCCACTGATACTGTAGTATCAGACACATTACACGTATTATGTACAGGTAAAGTTCAAATTTTTAGCATTTACTGCTTGAGCTTTTGATAGGTTGGTTCTAACCTACATTCTCTAACCTGAGACTCTATCCTGTCTGAAGGCAGTGTGACCTGTTGTTTTATATTTCCATGCCTTTATATATACTATTATTGTTTCCTGGAATATTCTTACTTGACATTTAGCTATCTTCTATACATCCTTTACAATCTGGGCTAGACACCACCTCTTCTACAAAGCTTTCTCTTTTCTCTCGCAGGTAGCTTGTTACTCATTCTTTCTTGCTCCCATAGTCTATAACAGAGAACTTGAAAATTTAAAAATGTTTATGAAAAGGTGAATGAACGAATGCATGAGTGAAAGAAAAGATAAAGGCATAATTACTTTTCTCACCCTTGAATATTATACTATGAACACATAAATATAGTTTATGTATCACTGAAGGAGAAACTCGTCCTAAAATTCAAAACAAAACCAGGTATGCATGTTTGTCTGGCTTTCCTAATAGGTTGATTTCACTGAAGTTTGGCTAGTAGCAATTTTTACTGAAATACAAGGCTGGAATTAAAAGAACATATCCTTATAATTAGACCTTGAGTTTCTAACGGACAAACCTTGCTCTTCCATTTCAATCTGGCAGGAGTAAAGAGATAGTAAGGGCCATTTCTAGTAATTATGTTTGTGGACATTACATCATTCTGGATTCCCACACCTGGTGTAGAACCCCATGCTTTTAAACTGCATATAATAACAGAAAAGGCAAAGCCAGAAATCAGAAGATCTAGGCTTTGGTGCTATAACTTCCATAATTAGTAGGTGGCTCCAAGCACATCATTTCTCCACACTGCCTCTTACTGTACAGAATGGGAATAAGATCTATCCCTGCTGCACAATATAATGAGGAGTAAATGAATGAAATGTGTGAAAATAAATTCAAATGGAAAAGTTCGGTGGAGAAATAGGTTCATTTAAGTGAATAGGATGGCTAGGAGAATGGAAGAACTTCTGAGAATTCCCTAGCTAAAAACACTGAAGTAAAGTAGGGAGAAATCAATGATTCTGAAGCATTTCTTTGGTTTCTTGTTCTGAGCAATAGTTAATCCCACAAGACATTTTATTTTTGAAAGTATAAGATTCTATTATTCCCAGAGGCAGTTAATACTGGAAGACTCATTTGTTTAAAATTAATCTTATTTTAAGCTGGATATAAAGGCAACCAACTTTATTCCTGGATCTATAATGAATGGATTTATGGTAATTCAGCAAACATTGCTGGAAAAGCCCTAAGGTCAAATCTATTAATCATTTAAATGCTATAACCCATAACACACAAGTTACAAAAGAGTTCAAGTAGGACTGCTTCATATCCATAATAGGCCAAGAAAGACACAGGAAGGCTTTACCGCTCATTGGAGGTTTGTAGTCAGATCCTAGGTCTGGCAGCCGGCTTCCTTTTCCTGAAGACCCTGAGGCTGAAGCAGAAGAAATCATGTCATTATTGACCCATCACTTTGGTGTGACAAGTCCACTTCACAGCCAGTCAATGTTTTCTACAAAACATTTCGGTCTACTCTGTCCACGAGAAAATGAAGTAGCACATAAACAGGGAAAAATATATAGCCTATTTGTACAAAGCAAACTGAAGTATAACTTTCTATGCAATGAGGCATCTGAAAGGCTGAAACCCCTGTTCCACAATTCTATCTGGATTTGCCACTCCTGTTCAGGAGGGGTGGGAACACATTTATTTCTCTATCTCAGGAAACAGCTCCAGAAAGGATGCTCTGAATATTATAGCAAAAAGTAGTTTTCTTAGAAAAGGAACTAAGGAGAGGTCTGTTAGGTTAACTTCCACACTAAAAACCTGGACTTTTTCCAGAGACTCTAGCTATGTTGATCTGGCTTAGCAGATAATGTTCATTTGAATTCTTTTCTGAATTATAAAGTTGCCTTTCTAAATATAAAGTTACCCTAAGCAAGAACTGGGAAGCAAATAGAAGATAAAATGGGGTCTTAGTTCCTGTGCAGCCACCTAAAAACTGAAAGATAGAAGAAACACTCTTCCCTTTGGTTGTTCACAAAGGACACTTGTCTCTGAGGCTTTTGACCTTGTATTTGAGAAACCTCTTAAGTAGGCCTCAGAAATCATAAACACCAGTAATTCTTAAAATTCTGTTTTTTGATCTTGATCTTTGTTCTTTACTTACAGAAAAGGTGCTTTGGTTAAGCAAATACAAGGATTCCTTTCCCAAAAAGGCAAAGGTATTTCTCAATCCAAGGTTTGGTGCTAGAAAGCACTATCGCACTGTCTCCTGAAGAGGTCTGAATGGAGTGAGAAGTAAAAGCTGCTCCTCACAGTTAACAGTACAGTGATGAATCGACAGCATACACCGAACTATTGAGGTCTTGACTTGCTTTTAGCAAGTTTTTTATTTCTGGGTTTCAATTTTCTCATGTAAAACAGTTATTATAACAATTGCATTTACTTCACAAAGTTGTTGTGAGGATTAAGTTTTAATCCTATAAATACTTTGAGTACTACATAGTGACACAAAGCAAATGTTCTATAAATACTAGCTACTATTATCACAATAAATCTTTAAGGAAGACTATTTCCTTTACAGAGGCAGAGAGCATGAAGCTTCAGAAAACACCCATAAATAAGTTCTTTTGACAACTAATGCTTGACTAGAAATGCATAAATTAGATGCAGTGCTGTAAAACATTAGAGCTGATGTCAAGTAATTTCATAAATTAGCAGACTTGGGGGAAGTGCAAGAAATTAAAACTTGAAGGTTTCTGTATGTACCTCATATAACAAAATAAATCTAGAGATGGAAGCATTTTCTGTTTCTAGAAGTTAAAAATTCCCAAATGTTAACAGAAATTATTCCCAAGGGTATATTCTAGAATTTCACTCATAGTCCCAACCCCTTTTCCACTGTTCCCACTTCTTATTTTTTCTCCTTACTTCTTTTGTCATTATTCCTCCCAATGGTCCATACCATCTCTCAAAATTCTAGTTCTTTTCACTATGAGAATGTCTAGATGGCAGAGTTAGCTTAGCACTTTAAAGCCTCTTCATATGTAAGTGTATTAATGTGTCAGACAGGCTATAGGCCCAACTATGCAGAGTATCACATTATGTAAATAACTGCCAAAGAACATACTTGTCAATAAACCAGTTGGTATGATACCTGTATTTCCCAGTATTCTTTCAAAGGAACAATAAGTTCCAAGGACTAGCCAAATACCAAGATAAATATGGGTAAAGATAAATGTGGGTAAACACCAGAGATGTGGTTAAGCAAAGCACTCCACTCTCCCTATCGAATGAGGTCAGGAAAGGACAATAAGCACATTTATATCCTATGCATATACAGTATGGTTGTTTTTCTATTCTCATGCTTGAGTTACAGTTTCTATCATGATTAGGATGTTTCCCATACACCCATAAAAACACAAATACACAAATGCAGTTTCTCCAATGTGAAACAAAAGATTCTGAATGTGAACATATTTCCAAAGCTCTGCAACCTGAAACCTCAAGTTCCAAATCATTCTTGCTGTTAACAAGGAGCAAAGAATTTGTATTTCTAATAATTTCTCTTAACGATGAGAGCAACCATCACATTTATTTTTATTGCTCTTTCTCAGCATAGAAAACAGGTACCAACTTCACCTCTGACTTCCCAGAGATGAAATTCATATGTACTGTTACTGCTCCAGATAGCAGATACAATGGAAAGACCATGGTGACATTTTCAAGATGGTGACACCGAGGCACATACTTCCTAAGTTTCAATTTCAGATGTTTTTTTCCTCTTTTAAAGTGAGCACATATATTTAAAGGAAGAAATGGAAAAAGAACTCTGAATTAAACCCTACAGTAACATCATATATTGATTGCACTAACTTTGTTAAGAATAATCACATCATTCAGTAGCCAAGTTTGTGTAGTTTTTGTGTGAAGAAAAAAATAGTCACTGAATTTGATCACAACTTCTCATTTAGAGATACGATTAAAATCTTAGATGTTAAGATTTTCAAATATGAAAAATTAGCATGCAAGGCCCAAATGCCTATCATCGTTACAGAATATCAATCTCTTGGCACAAAGGATAGTCTGACCCACACTTGAGGTCAATCTCCTACAGCTGCAGAACTCAGTTTATTTGATTCAGTTTTTTTCCACCAGTCATTTTAGCTTCTAAGTAGATTTCCCAGCTTTTCAGATACCCCAAGTGCCATTGAAATGGACTCAACTCCACTTTGGCCAATTAATATGTGGATTTTAATACAGGTTTTCAGGAAAAAAGAAATAAAACAACAAAAGCTAACAATAGATCACAAAAGAGAGGAGAGGAAAGAGAGGCCATCTACTCATTTACCTTGATCATTAGGCATTTTATCTGAGGAGTCCGCTAACAGGCCAAGCACAGGGGAAGAAAAAACAAGAGCAAGGATCACAAGCTTTGAAGATGGGACAGGCAGAATTTTTAAAGGAAAAAAAAAAAAAAGCCCATAAAGTTCTGAACAAATTGAATCTTGTTTATGGTACTAACAGAAAAGAAATCCACATTGGGTTTCCATATTCCCATGGATTTACTCCCCGACTAAAGTCACTTGGTTCAATATTTTATCTTCACTTTCTTATTCAAAGTTTTCTTTAAAGGGCCCCCTTTAGTCTCTCTCTCTCATCTTTCACTCTAAAAATATCCATGAATAATCCTTTACCTTAAGAGTCTTAATTTGTTGAAAGACAATTTCTCACAATAACATGCTACTACTCTGGGAAGCAAGAAAAGTGCATCTGACCTGACTGGTGAAAACTTTCAGATCACTCACTGTACTTCATCTGCCGTGAAAAGCCTGGCGTCAAAGTCCCCTGGTCATGACATGGTTAGGCAGTCACCTAACCATAGGAGCACTGATTTGGTGGCCAGTAGTGGGTAAGGGGTCGTTTGAGGAGTTATCTTCACACTGTGGCTCATCTTCAGGACCTCCATTATTCATTCTCTACAGCCACTAAAGAGACATATAAAACTGTTCGGGGAGCTTTACCTTTAGGTGTTCTGAACTGGACAGCTTCAGACATGGGTCCCATGCCCTTTGAGTTCCGGGCTTGGATTTTGAAGTAATATGGTGTGTCAAGCGTTAATTCTTGAATCTGATGAGTCAGCCTATTTCCCACAACAGGTTCAATGACCCAGTCATGTATCTCTGCATTTACATCTGTACTGTAATATATGATGTAACCTGTCCAAAGTGGTTAATGGGAAAAGATATTATTCCTGTTTTTTCTTTTGTAGTAAGTCAATAAAGACATATGTTATAGCACATACAGGCAGAAAAGCAGATACTGGTTAGAGTAATAATGGCAAATGTATTCACAGTGCTATACTAAACACAATTTCACAGCATCAGGTAATAAGTTTTCATCTATACAAAAGCTGAAATGATAGTCACAGATAAAAATAGAGGGTTAAGTACTCTAGAAGCTAAGAAATTGAATAAGGAAATATTATTCAATCACTATAACATCTGAACATGGAATAGTTCATCATTTACAGGCCTACAATTAAAATAATGCAGTTCTGAAAACTAACAAAAGCCTGACATGCTCTCACCAATGTAATTTCCTGGAAAAAAAACTGGAAGATGGGCTATGATCTTTCAGGTCACTGGGGTGGGTGGTCATAGTGACAAGTCACCTGATACTTCCTTCCACCAGAGGGCACTCAATCCCTGTGGTTGAGGAAGCAAGTGCCACTTGCCTACCTGACCCCCCACAGCAAAATGCATTGTATTATTACTAGTTTTTAAAGACAAAGTAATCTAAGTCAAGGCATGTTTTACGTTTTTATGGAAGAGGCAAATTTAAAACACACTCACAAAAAAAAATGACACAAAGACCTGGGATTTACAGAAAGGGATTCCTATTGAAAGTCAAGGTGGGGCAATGCTAAGAAATGCTTCCAGTTTCTTTAGGCCACCTTATACATGAAAAGAAACTTCAGAAGGCAAACTCCTGCTCCACAGCAAACTCCTGCTCCACAGCATACTCCTGCTCCACAGCAAACTCCTGCTCCTCTGCTCCTACTTATGGAACAGAGGATGCAAAGGGAATAACTAGCAGCCAAGTCCCATCAGACTTTCCTCCTTAAGAAAGTAAAGGAAGGTCTAGTGTCTTCTCTATCATGGAAGGTTCTCCGCTGCAAGTCAAAGGAAAAACTCCAGTCCCCTTCAAAGGCCTGAGCCAAGTCAAACTTTTAATTCTATTTATAAGTGTACAGGAAGCTAAAATAGTAAGTCTGGAGGAAAAAGGAATTAAAAGCCTTTTGAGGATTGTAGGGTAGAAAAACAGAATCTGTATTTACTGGATATTACCCTGATGAGTTAGATTTGAAGGTGGATATCTCTAAAGTCTATGCTGGCAATCTAGAGGCAGGGAATAGCTTTTCTGAGGAAAATAAATATGTCTACAAGGCCCATTATAGCCAAAGGCTGTATTATGCATCATACTTTCATTCAGTTGAGTTAGGCCATACTGAAAACCCAATTATGTCACACTGGGTAAACAACCCCTCCTTGCTTCACTTTCAAGGTCCAACGTGATTCCCAACACCTCATAAAAAGATCTAGTAAGCCTTCTGACTCCCTCTTTTCCCAATAATATGGCACTCTCTTAGAATGCTGCTGCCAGTTCGGAACAGGCTACAGACACAATCAAAGGCCTCTTACCTGTAATTTTGCCATTGGCTTCAGAGGGAGGCTGCCAATTCACAATTATGGTCCTAGGTTTCCCCTCTTTACTCACAACTGTCACATCCTTCGGTGGAGAAGCAGGAACTACAAAATAACAATACTTTCAGTAATTCCTTTTTATCTTAATTTAATTCACCCTTTCTGCAACCCTTTCCAATTTTAAGCACAATAAAGGACATAAGAAAAAAAGGATAAGTCTCCTGGCTCCAAAGAATTTACTATCTATCCATAAAGAGTTCCAATAAAAAAGAATATGCCAAATAACAAAAAGAAAATACCATGTTGTAAGTATATATAACTAGTATCTTGACAAGGGTCAGGGACATACAGACTAGTTAGGCAGGGAAACTAAATGGCGTTTGTAGTTATCAAATAAACAGTATTGCACTAAATATTAACATCACCTTTTGAAAAAAACATTTATTTATTTATGTATACAGAACTGGGGTACAGGCCATAGGTGCAGGGGTGGTGAGAGGATTCACCAGAGAAAGAGCGGGGAGCAGAACAGGCAGGAAGTACACTACTGAGGGGAGCAGCAGGCAGGTCAGGAGAGGTCTGCCGCGCCATGTGGGTCAGCTCTGGGGCATCAAGCTCGTATGGAAGCCTGAAGTAGCTGTGGCTTGCTTGCATTGTTGCACTTTAGCCCATTGTACCACCAGGGAGGTCCCTTAACAGAATCTTAAAAGACCTTATCTCTGCTTTACAAATCAGGAGACTGAAAATGAGAAAAGTCATAATAAAATTCGCCAACTTGGCATTCCCCTGACCCTGAATTTTGAATTACTTTATTAGAATAATAAATTTTCCTCTCACTATATAGTTGGTTCTCTTAACCAAATACAGTGCTTAAAAATCTCTATTACTTCAAAGAAAGATTTACAAATTGATGTGGGCTTTTTTTTTTTCACTTTAAGTTTACAATGAAAACATCTTACCAACTATGTAAAATTATTGCTCTAACAGGTAAAGGTGAATATTCATGAGGAAAAAAACCCATAAAATAAAAATGACTGTGTTTGCTGTGATTTCATCTTAAGGTTGCAAACTTTTAATGTATTAGTAGGAAACAGGAAAGTTCAAAGTGCAGTCTTAAATTTATTCTTCCTTTTCTAAAATGTTTTAACTCTCCTAACACAAAATGGAAAAGTCTGGTGAAATGCAACCAACTTCAGGGAATACACAATATCATTTATTAGCTGATGGGTTGGAATTAAAGCCTGAAAAATCTTAAAAACTGACAAACAAAGCAAATCAAGGTCTATTTACGTTTTTGCATACCATATTTCTAGCTCTGCAAAAATCAAACCTTTCTTTTGTAGGAAGTCCAAATAAAAGAAGATAAAGACAGTCAAGGTCAGTTTGAGATTTTATAGCTCCATTTTTTAATTGAAGGGGAAGAAGACAGGCAGTCAGATAGAAATTTCAAATGCTTACACATATCCCCAAATTTGGAGAGTACAGAGGTTACATGGGCAGGCATACCAAAGTGAGCAAAAAGCAAACACTCTCTTCCCTTAATTTGCTCAGTCAATGTTTCTCTCATGTTTACTTACACAGACACAAACCTAAGAAACTTCAGAGGAAGCTCTTATGAGACACTGCATTAGTTTTTGCAAGAACAACTTGTTTTGAAGAAAGCTTTGGGGCCCCTAATAAAGTGCTGAGGTTCTAGTCAGCACAAATTGGCAGCTGTCAAGGGCAGAACATGAACTTTTCTGTCTCAGTTTATAGGAAAGCAGGATAAAACACAATAATCCCTAATTCTATACAGTGTTTTATATTAACCATATGCTTTCCCATCTGTTCCTCATGTTAACTTTATCATAATCTATAAAGTAGGAAAGGCAGAGATTATTATACATTTTTTTATGGTTGGTAGGGACAAATTCAGAGAAGTTGGATTATTATGCTTACAATCACTCAGTCACTAAGTGGCTGATCTGATAATGCAAAACATACTAGATTTTAGGAATCAGGCCTTGAATTCCTAAAATCTAGTATGTTTTTCATTATATCACTGCTATCTGCTAGTGTTCTGGTACAATGATTTAAAAAAAAAATCACCAGCTGAAAAACTGATGAACTCCAACTGCAGTTGCAAATTGTGTTCAATTCATGCACTCAGTCTTCCTTTGGGTAGTAAAAGCAGGTGACATTTCATGACTTGAAATGTGACACAACATTAGCATGGAGTCCACTGGCCTTCATGTCTTGTAAAGAGAAAAAATGTGTCAGGTTACATAGATTCTGACAACACATACCAAACTCAAAGGTGGTCCCATGGGCTGTCATACTCCATGTACTTGATCGTCGACCTTTGGTCACCATCACAGAGAACTCATAGAGTGTATTTGCCTTTAAACCAGTCACCAAATAACTCAACGTTGTTGCATTTGCATTCTGGAAACATGAAGCAAGAATTTCAGAACTGGATAATATCAATAATTAGCTTTTCCCACCCAGAGCAAATGTGTCAATACCTTGTACTTGGTGTTTGCCGGGATATTGGTTTTCCATCGGATTGTGTAGTACCGGGAATCCGTTATCTTCTGATGCTTGGGCAGTGAGTTGTCCGCCCATGTGATCCTTATGGTGTCATGACTCAGAATGGAAGCCTGAACTCCCACTGGTGGCATCATGGGAGTGGGATCTGGCACTGGAGTGTATGGAGCATTAATAACAAATAAATCAACTTCAGAAGTGTCTGGGTAAAAAGTAATTAAAAAGGGAAGTGGCATTTTAACATAAACAAAAATAAAAGGGAAATGCAGGGCAACAGAATGGAATGAAAGATGAGAAATGGAGAAAAAGAGAAGAGAATCCAGAGTTAATAGACAACCACCACTCACTTAAGAGTATTTCCACTTGTGTTCTTTCCAGAAAAATAAAGAAACAGGAATCAACTATCTTCTCTACTGTATTCTACAGACATTAAAATTTGATAATAGTGGTTTTAATGCAGCCTTATTTGAATTTTCCTTAAATTACATGAGAAATCAATCTCCATCTCCTGTCCACAATGGATCATGAAAACATAACTATTTTTAAAATCAAGGGTAAAATTTATGGGTAAGCAATACAAGGTTCAGGATCTGTTTTGATAGTTCAATGAATGTGACTGAATTTTTGGGACTTGGGTTACCCAGACAAATCACTAGATATGTATTTGGTCTTAATGTCAAATCTAGGTCCTGCATTTTATTTTAGCAAATGACCTTGGTTTTAGGTGTTATCTGATACCCCAAAGTTCACATATGCTGGGCTTAAAAGCAGTACAAAAATATGGTCACATCCAAACTGAAGCAAAAAGAAATTAGGGTATTCTTTGTTTTTGAGGAAAGGCAAGCTGACATCATAAGGGACTCTTGACTACACTTTCTCCAGTATGGTCAGGACAACTGATGAATCCCAATCAGTTATGAAAAATACCATGGTTACCAAAGGTCCAAATGACATAGCCTTTATGAATTTTAGAGATCAGAGTACTTATATGATAGGATAATTCATATGCTGGATCTGTGGCATATGCAACAAACGCATTCATTATGGAAAGCACTGCAGCCAGAATGAGCAAAGATCAAACACTTGACATTCAGGGCAACACAGAAGGATGGATCTGGAATTCCCCAACTCTCAGGTCTTCTAAGTATATGCAAACTAGTTTATATTAGCTTCATGTTTTAAAATGGATTTTCCACATTGTTGTGGTGACAAATCCTTTTTATAATTCAAAACTGAAATGGCACGGGTCATGTTTATGAATAATTGCCAAGTCATATTAAGCATCTCCATTTGTGTATTTCCTGCACAATGAGGACTAAACATAACAGAGGAACAGTATAAATTATAATCAAGGGCTTTGTTCAAAGATCGTTAGGACACATACCAATTAGTTACAGAAAATGCACCTTCAGGTGCAAAGTCATCAGAATTCTTTGAAAATTTTTTTCCCCTATTGGTAGCAACTCTTGGAAGTGATAACTAGATTACAAGGACATTTCCTTGTCTATTTCTAGGAAGAAGGATATATTTTTAACTTACATAAAACAAAATAACTAAGAATGTTTCTTTCTATTAAAGGCTTATTTGAGAAATAGTAAATCATTTACTTAAATATTCCCGCTCTGGTTTTACTTTTTTTTTTCTTTCTGGAGCACTAAAGCTATATTTAAAATAACTTGCATAATGAAAGCACGCTGGAACAGAAGACAGGACAGAGCAATGAAATATATAGTAATGATGCTAGTCTTGTTAAGTAAAAGCTTAAAAAGAAACAAGAGTGAGATTATCTTTTTATAAAGAATAATGTGAAATCTGTACTATATTATGTAAAGTATTCAGAGCTCATAGGAGGAAATACAGATTTACAATTCTGGGAAACAAAGTAAAAAGAACATTTTCAAAAATGATATTGTTTAGCTTATAGTACTTTTTCAAAAATTTTACAACCCTGAAATATTTACGTCAATAAACTTTCTCAGTCAGATACAAATTAGATGTCTTGAATTTCTCGGACATTTTGTATTACATTCCTTCAATTTAATAAGTTATTAAAAAGAATATGGTAAGTATCTGGTCCTTTTATAAGAAATATACAGTGTTTCATCTGACTTTATATAAGTAAAAGCTTGAGAAAAGCACACAGACTCTGAGGGAGCACTGGTGGTGCCATGGTGACGGGAGTAGCATGATCACACACACCTGAATGTGGGACGCTCCATCTCTGAATGACACAGTGTTGTGAACCTATGTAATCTCAGTAAGAAAACTTTAAAGAATATATTAATTGATCACCAGGAAGGTATGTAGAACAACATTTTCCCCACCATATCAGGTGGACTAGTAAAGAAAATGTTATATTCAACACCCTTAACATATATTATTATCCTTCTATACTAATTCTCCAGAAATATGAAGAATCCTTTTGTTTTCTGACTCATTTTAGTTCTAACTTATATGACTGAAAGATGAAAAATTACTTTTCTTTCAAAACTATGCCTTTTAGCACATAATCCTAAATGTTAAAAACACGTGTTGCGTATCTACATAGAACTGTTGACATGACAGGATAGCATTTTCAAAAAAATCAAAATAGTCCATGGTGAAACTTTGTTTTCCTATATGAAGCCTACATTCTAGGTTGCCATCTACTTTTCCTTCCAGTGATACCTGAGGGGCAGGCTTCAGGCCATGTTTTACTTACTCTGTTGAAAAGAGCTAGAGCTTTAACTTTACCTGTGTGAGGCCTGGTCACAGCACTCTCATACAGGGGAATGCCTTCACCCACATTGTTAAACGCTTTCAGGGTGATCACATAGTGAGAGCTGGGATCTAAAGGAAAAACAACACATTAAGAAAATTTTCACTACACATTTTTTAAAATTCATGATTTAAAATTTGAAGAATGTTTATATGGTATTATCTTGAAGTGTGGGGAGAAAAGGAGAGGGTTCTCCTACTCGGTCTTCACATGTGGGTAGCTGTTCCCTATGCTGGGGACACACAGCCACAGCACCTCTCTTCTTTACCAGATAATTGCAGGTGCATTGATAATATAGTATTACTAATAACTAGGATCATGTCTGTCTGATTCTTTATTCTATGCAACATTTCAGTAGTTGAATAAAGGAAACAACAGGAGGTGAGTCACCAGGGGGATGTTTTTTTTTTTACCCTACCAGCAGGACTTCTTTTACCCTCCCACAGTTGCCTGGTAAGACTTACGGGGGAACACTCTAGGTTAGCTGTGTTATTTCTTCTGGGAAGGAAAATGGAAAGGCTACAGTATCTGAGGTATTGTAGCATTTATTAAATATTTGCTGACTGATAGGTGTGGAAGAAAAGATATTAACTATAATTTTGGTATTGATAGAATATGGGGTATAATGTGGTGCAGATGTCCAGTAAGCAGATATTTATATGGACCTGAGGCTTAAGGAGAGTGCACTAGTTTGATTAGTAAGTTAATTCTTACATATATTTCCCCCCCCGACTTGCCACTTTTGTTCAACATTATATTCATCTTAGATCTACTTATGTTGATAGAATTGAAGTTTATTTTACTTTATGCCAAATTAAATATTTTTGCTTGTATCAATGTGCACTCTCCTTTCTCATCTGCTTACTCTCTTCAGCACATGTGACACTCCTCATCTCTGCTTTCAAACACTATTCTGACTCAGTCTTTCAAGGACAGGTTAAGTTTTTCCTTGACTGCTCTAAAGTGCCTTGCTCGCTCTCCTTGCTTGGAACTGACTTCACTTCAACTCTTAATTGCTGCTTGTGTTTTATTTTTGTTCTTCTTTTAAGATGAAAGCACCTGAAGGTCAAGGGCCCTGTCTTGCCAACACTGCAGAGGGCTTTCATTTCAGTAGCTGCACAAAGGAAACAGTAGGAGGTGGGTCACTACAGGGGTGATTTGTTTTTATTCTACCAGCAAGACTTCTTTTGACCTCCTACTGTTGCCTGGTAAAACTATTCACGTGGGGAGCACTCTGTAGGCTAGCTGGGCTATCTTTCAAAGGGAAAAAAAGAAAGGCTACTTTGATTCTGAATAAAGCATTAAATTGTTGCTTATTTTCTACCAGGAGTTTCTACCAAGATTAAGTGTCATTTGTTAGACACTTAAAGTTGTTCTTAGAAAAGGTATTTACAGAGAAATTATTTAAATAAAAAACCTGGTTAGGAAAGAAAAAATTCAAATTAAAAAAAAGCAAGTCTTTTTCAAAAAGTGCTATCATGATAATCTAATTTGAAAATGTAATTATGCCCAAATTAATTCACTTTCTATTATTAATATTACCCTAAATTTTTTGCTTTGTAAATGAACTTTGAGATTTTAACAGCATACAACAAAATGCACGTGTTGAGTTTTTAACCAACATATACTGGCATAAAGTATGTTTTAAAATATATGGCAGTGACCACAACCATGATATGTAACATTTCCAACACTCCAAGTAGTTTGTTTCAGCCCAATTTTCACCAGCCCTGGATCCAGGCAACCACTAATCTTGCTTTATCACTATAATTAGGGCTGCCTATTCTGTAATTTCATGAAAATTCACTGATACAGTATGTAATTACTCTGCTAATTTCTTTTGCTCAGTATGTCTGTGTGTATCCAGTCTGTTCCTTTTAAATGCTGAGAGGTATTTCAGCATGTGGATGGCACAGTTTACCATTTACCTGTTTACTCCATTGAGACTATTATAAAAAAGCTGTTATGAACACTGTGCACAAGTCCTTGTATAGATTAGTGTTTTCATTTCTCTTCATTAGAAATGAATGGATTTTTGTGTTATAGGGTCAACTTTTTAAAAATCTCTACACTGTTCTCTAAAGTGGTCTGATAATCAGACATTCCTACCAGCAAGTATTAGGGTTTCCAGTTCTGCATCTTTGCTGATAAATGACATTATCAATCTATTAAGTAATTCAAGGAGACATTATCAATCTATTAAGTAATTCAAGTGAAATTTCATTGCGATTTTATTTGTATTTTTCTAATGGTGAATAATGTTTCCTAAAGGTCTTCTTGTGCTTACTGTCTACTCGTAGATCTTTCTCTGGAATAGTGCTCCTCCAAATCTCTGTAGGGCAAATAATTTTCATATATTCTGGTCTCAAATTCTTTGTCAGGTATTTAACTCACTGGTATTTTTCATAGTCCATGGCTCTCCTTTTAATTTTATCAGTGCTTTTTCAAAAGTAGTTTTAAATTTAATATTCAATTTACTACTTTTAAATGTTTGTGATTTTTTTTTTTCACACCCTAAGAAACCCATATCTCAAAACCAGGAGGAATTTTTCCAGTATTTAGTTCTTGTTTTTAGGTTTGTTTTGTGTATGAAGTGAAAGGCCAAGAAAGGCTCTTTTTTCTCATTTACACAAATACCAATTAGCCCCACATCTTTTGTTGAAAAGCCAATCCTCTCATTTCACTTGTACGTTAAATATAATGAAACAAAACAAAGGAACAGACAAAAGATAAAACTAAACCAAACCATAACAACCTCTAGAATTATGACTGCAGAAGTGACATTGTCAGTGAGAGGTTGGAGGTGATGGAGGAAGAAACGTAAGGGGCAAAATGGACTATGGTGGAGGATTATTGGGGCTTTGGTGACAGATGTGGTATAATAACATACATTAGAAGAGCTGTGAGCCTAGCCCTATAAATCATATATGCTGTGATAAACTAATACTACCTCAAATTTAAAAAAGCTTCATGCACAAAAATGCCATCCTCTCCCTAGTGAATTTCTCAGTACTTTTGTCAAAAATCAATTGACTATACCTACAGACCTATTTCTATATTCTGTTTCATTCATCTAAAATACCTACCTTAACACCAATATGTTCATAATGTCTTGATTACTATAGCTGGAAATAGACTTGGATCTTTTAACATTATTCTTCCTTTTTCAAAAAAGTTTGGCCATTCTAATTCCTTTCATTCTTAGAATTAGTTTATTATGTTCTACAAAAAGTCTACTGGAATTTTACTTGGAATTGCAAAGGGAAGAATCATTACTTTAATAACACTGTCTTCCAATCCATAAACATGGCATTTCCATTTAAGTCTTTAATTCCCTTGGCAATAATTTTCCAGTTTTTAATGCACAGACCCTGTATATATTTTAAAATTTTATTCCTAAGTACTTTGTATTTTTGGTGTTGTTATTTTAATTACACTTTCTAACTGTTTACTATTAGTATAGGAAAAGTCAACTATTTTTGTATAATGATTTTATATCTTATAACTTTGCTAAATTCAAAAGTTTCAGTAGTCTTTTTTGTACATGCCTCAGGATTTTCTACCCAGTAAGAATAAGCACGGATAGTGCTCACCTACTGGCTTCTAAAGAGCATTTCCCATGAAAGAGACCAGGAATCTTGGTCTTTTCAGGGGCTAATACTAGGAACATATTAGAAATATGGGGCATGAAAGATGGACAAAAGACTCTGACTGGCCATTCTCTGTGGGGGAAGAGGAAAGTACTTGCTATCAAACGAGTGCTTATAAATGAAGAAGAAATAATGGAATTAGAAAATCATAGTATATAGTACTGCTATAAAATTGCTAATACTAATGAGTGAAAGTTTGATGAGAAACTAGATATAAAACTCAGGCTATCTTTCTACAAGTTACTTATTAACTAGGAAGCGAAAAATTACTTTATAGAGGAGAGGTGTGGCAGATAACATATTAATCCAGTGATTTAAAGTTAACATCAGAAGCAACAGGCTCCCATGTACCTGATACAATGCACTGACAAGAACACAATGCTTCTATACTATTCCTTCCCAAAACACATAAGCTGAATGTAATGAGGAAACATTAGACAGGTCTGAAGTGAGGTACATTCCACAAGATATTAGTGGTCAATCCTTGATGAAAAGGTCATAGTCATAAAAATTAAAAGGAACTGTTGCATAACAAAGAAAACCACTGGGATCTGGTAATTAAATGCAACATGTGACCAGAATATAATGTTTTTCTTTTATGATAAAGGATATTAATGAGACTAGTGAAATATGAATAAAGTCTTTAAATACTGCTTCAGTATTAATCTGATGATTTTGATAAACTAGTTTTTTTTTTTTTAAGATTTATTTATTTATGCATACAGAACTGGGATGCAGGCCAGAGGTGCAGGGGTGGTGAGAGAATTCACCAGTGACAGTGGGGAGCAGAACAGGCAGACTGACAAAGTACACTGCTGAGGAGAGCAGCGGGCGAGGCAGGAGAGGTCTTCCGCGCCATGTGGATCACCTCTGGGGCCGGGGATCAAAATGGCACTGAAGTGGCTGCGGCTCACTTGCAGTGCTGCGCTTTAACTCACTGCGTGACCACAGAGGGCCTTAAAATATCCTTTTTTAAAATGAAATACATTATAGTATTAATGGACATCATGTCCGCAACTTACTCTCAATGATTCAGGGGAAAAATACGAACAAAGAGGGAAATAAAGAGTGCTAAAGCACATGTGTTAACATGTTAACCTTTGGGGAATCTGGTGAAGAATAGATAGGAATTCTCTGTAGAGAATTTATTTTTATTAAAAAATTTAATAAAAATAAAAGTTATTACATGGTAAAAAGTTAAAAAGAAACAATAAGTATGATTACTTCCTCTACTTGCATACATACCCAGATTTTCTATGGTGTAATAGCGCTGTTTATAGTCCACTTTGATGGTCTGGGCATGAGGGCTGCCAATGCCATAGCCAATGGCATATCCTCTAACCACAATGTTTTGATTCTCTGGAGGAGTCCAGCTTACGACGATGCTAGTGACCAGTGGGCGAACATGAAGAGAACTAGGCACTTCAGGAACACGGGTTTCTGGGAAGGAAAGTAAAAAAGCAAGATGAGACCCATCTCCTGCTAAATTATTTGCATTCTGCCCAAGAATTCAAAAAGAATCATGAGTGTGATGTGTGGTTTAACTACATGACTACATTCTAAGATGAAAACCAAACATAAACACTTTTAAACACAAGATTCTCATTTAGAAAGGAAGACCTACGATCCTCTGCACAATGGAGAATGACAAATAAATTGACTTTTGATGGCTGCGATTCCTCTTGGTCTTACATCTGATTTAACAACTCTATCAGGTGGAATGAGAAAATGTATTACACCAACTAATTAATTGTTGCCAACAGGTGATCAAGGATTACATTACATAGCAATGGTGTAAATTATTTAATCATCTAAATATTGAGGTAGGGTAGAAAATACAAAATTTTAGAACCACAAATTACTTAAATGGTATTGGACCCTGGAGGCCTAAAAAGGTGGTAATTTATTTATGTTTCAAATACATATTTCAAGGCATAAACTGCCATCTTAATTAAAAAATTAGTAAGCCGAGAATTAGAATTAAGTACCAAGATTTTTTTTTTTTTCGGTCTCCTAACTGCAATATCTGTCTCTGATAAGGATACGTATTATAAAACCACACCGTGCTATTCTCTGAAAAAAACAGGTGAATAAAGGGGCAGAGTGCCCAAGACTCAGGGAAAAGGGAAACTTTAGGATTCATATATCTTAGTCTTATATTTTAGATGATTCATCTACTTAATGGGTCAAATCTAGACTTACAATACCTGTACATTTTTATTTCTCTGGTTCTGTTTAAAGGGACAGTTTTTTAAAAGCCACTGCAGAAAGCCAAACCAAACCATTCAAGATTTGCTGCATTTCAGGAATAAGAGCAGGGTAAAACAAAAATCCACAAATTTAAGCTATGTGCATCCCCCTCCTAAATCTATGGCTTTCCAGTTGACTCATTTAACTCATTTAGTACCTAGCCTGTGCCAACCTGCCAATTATTCTTACCATCTAAGTCACTTTCAAAAGTTTCAGCAGATAGCCAGTCACTAGCTGGGCCTGTACCATTGATGGTTAGAGCAGCCACTCGGAAACTATATTCAGTCCCCCGATCAAGACCTGAGACCAAAATGGAAAAAAAAAAAGAAAAAAAAAAAAAAGGACAAGTTGAACAAGAGCTCTAGAAAATGAAACATTTACAGTCTTTCATTAAAGCAATTATCTTATCCACCAACTTGGTACGTAACTACTATCTTGATAAGGTTACTACAAAACAGGCAGTATATAAATACACCTAAGTAGCTCCCACCTCTAGAGGCTACAACCCACCCATCCCAAGAGGAAAATAGGTATAAGTAAAGTTCCAAGAAGATTACAGATTTCTCTGAGTTTTAAGGTACCTTAGAGATCATTTAATTTTGTTACTAGGGAAGCTAAAGGCCCCCCAAAAAAGCACTTATCTTCCCCCAAAGCTTCTGCAAAGCCAACTAGCCCTTGCTAAGCCAAGTGTATTTAAGGAAGAAAGAGGGGAATCTCTGCTCCGTATAGGGGAACCCAGTTTGAAATGCATTTTGGCCTGTCTTTACAAATATGCCTCTTGCTATTTGCATGTAAAGGGAAAACTATGAAAAAGAGCTATCCCTGAAGGAATTTTCTAAGATGTTATCAAGTCCATAATAGCAACAATGATTACCATACTAAGATGGTAATGCACAAATACTTCAGACCACATATATACAAGTAGAGTCAGTGTTATAAAAATAATTTTGTAGATAACAGCTACTATCTTAGGTAGAGTAATTTTATTTTGCTTATATAATTTTCATTTACCTTTTCTGTAGATTGTAAGAAATACATATATATATATATATATATATATAAAAGAAAATGTGGAGGCTATAGAAAAACACAAATAAGGAAATAAAAAGGAAACTGTACTACTTGGAGATGGCAGAACCTGTAAGAGTATTTTCCATTCATGTTGATCAAGTTAAAAATGTCTTTTCCTTGAATAAATTTTAATTTAATTGTATAAGCCAAAAAGTTGAGAGCAGTCATGTGACCAGAATGACCCTTTTTCTTAAAATTTGAATTACAGTTTTATATGTTCATATAATATTAATTTCAAAGTCTTTTGAGGGGAGGGGGCAGAGGAATATTGTCTTCATCTTTCTGCCCAACAGTTGCTTCACTGTTTGTGTACAGTGGGGGTCTGTGAAATGTTTTCTGAAATGAAACAAAAAAATCGAACCAATTTACACTGCCTTGTACTCTTTCTATGTGTAGTAAAATTTAAGAAATACATAGTTATGTACATATGTCTAAAAATAAGTATTTGTATTTACACATGTATATGGATGTGTAAATATGTATATATGTATGCATTTGAAAAAGAAACAAAAAGGAAGAAAGTGAAGAGAAAGTAACAGCTTCAGCGGTGTAGGTAAATTTCTGGCTATAGCCATCAAAAAGTACAGTCCCAGGAGAGAGCAGAAGATGAGACAGGTGCCCTTCTCAGGTACTCTCAGTTCCTGTGAGCACAGTGGTGGAGCACCATGCTGTGATGAATGGGATGCTAGTGTTAAAGATATTCAAAAATGAACATGCAACATGGTGGCCTTACATGAGACACTAGCATATTTCACTGTCTTGAGAAAGACCTTCTCTCAACTTTACCCATGTGCAGCACAGCTTACCTTCCACCAGCCAAGACAGCTGAGTCCCAGCTACCATGGTCTCAGAGGCTTCACTCTTTCGAGAGGCCTTCCGGTAGCGAACCTTGTAGCCAGTAATCTGCCCGTTTTGTGCATCTGGAGAAGGTGGCTGCCAGTGAATCATGATACTCTGGGAAAGATAAGGTTATAGGAAAAAGACTGACTACAAAAAGTTTTGACCCAAGGTTTTACATGTTACTACCCTATATTTTCTGTGTAAAAGAAAGGTATATAAAGGCAGCAGGATACTCAATTTTACTAAATTATTTAATAGTCACTCAAGAATACTTTTTAATTTTAAAAACCTCCATTTTCAAAAAGGGATATTATATTTGTTGGCAGTGTACTCTGGGCACTTAACCTACTGGGTATTTTGCCAGAACTGACAACACTGGGCAAGTCTCAGAAGAGTTTTTAAAAGGAAAATACAAGGTTAGAACAAATGAATTCAATAGTAAACTATTGTTAGATGTAAAGGTTCTTTCCCATCTGCAGCATTCAACAGCTGAATTAAATAATTTTCATCTAAAACTCATGAAAAGGGAAAATCATTAACAACTGTTGTTTGTTGTTCCTAAAAGAAGAAATGGAATCCCTCTGGACTTTTTGAAAGGACTGAATTCCTCAGTTGTCTATGCAACCCAGAAAGGGCTCAGGACTCTGAGAGGCATTCATAGTTCTAAGTGTACAGAGAAGTTCACTTGGAGGGAGGATCTGAGCAAATGCACCCAGTCTGAGAGTTGTCTGCCTTTAATTCACATGGGGGATGTCATCATAAACAACTTACTTCTTTCTGTCTGGTAAGGTTCTGGACTGGTAAGATCTAGATTGCTGTGATTTATCTAACAATTGCACTGTATCTGCACAGCTAAAGTAATTCTGGCAATAGAGAAAGACAGCAAAGTCACACAGTACAAGCTGGTATTCTAAGCCCAGTCTTACTTACATATCTGTCAACTTACTTCTCTCACTATGATTGTTTTTAGTTAAGTTCTAATTTATAGGCTTAGTATTAAAAAAAAAAAGATGATTGCAGTGTTAACATTCATTTATTTTGATAGTTTCCCACATAATCTCCTTCCTATAAGCTCTTTGGAGGTTTGATAGTACACTAGTAAAAGTGAATTAACATCAATACAAAATTTTACCTTTGAATTTCTTACTTCTAAGGACAGATTCTGAGGCGCAGCACTGGGAACTAGACAGGCAAAAAAAAAAAAAATTTTTTTTTTTCAATCACCCAACATATCATGTGACTGTTTTGGCTAGACTTACACAAAGGCACATCTCCAAAACTGCTGATGCATCAAAGTCCTCATCCACCTGTCAGTACTATCATATTGATTGTATTATCTGGATAAGGGGTGGCCATGTTTGACTCATTAGAGAAGTAAGACATACTCATTTACATATATCCATGTCAGGTTGTTCCTTGGGGAAATCAGACACTCAGATGTGTTTACAGATGTGACAGTGACTTCAAACTTTTCTAGATTCTTAACTTTTCCAGACCTCTGAACCTTCAACACATTGTTTAAATATTCTTGATGATAGCATATATTTATCTTGGAGGAAGGATCATAAGTTTCCCAGAAACAATTCTCGAAAATATGGCAAATAAGTGAAAGAGATCATCATCATGGGTTCAAAATGTGATATGCAAAAAGCAGTAGCTTCATTTTCTTATGTGGTTCCTAAGCTATATTTTAATAGTTTCTTTAATTGAGGTAACATTGGTTTACAACACTATATTACTCAGAGGTGTAGGATGGCTCAGTTGTATGCTATAACACCACACCCACTACCAAGGCGCTCACAGTGCTTCACCATAGCCTTCTGGGTCCCCTTCCTACTGCCCTCTTTCCCATTCTTTCCTTCCTGATAGCCCCACTTATCCAAGTCAGATTCTAGGGCTTGTTACTGGGTTGATTTTATCTAATGTCTTCTTTTGTTTCTCTATATTCCACATATAATCTGATAGATTTCTTTCTCCTTTACTTAACATTATCCCCTCCAGTTCCATCCAATGGGAAAAGTTTCTTCCCAAATAGAGCAAAGAGGTATTTAAGCAATGGCAGCCTCAGGAATGTGACCATCTGGTTTCCCAAAAAAACTATTACAGCAGGAACACTCATTTAGATGTCAGAAGTTTGTAGCTGCTAGTTAAACAAACAGCTGAACTTCAGTTTCTCACAAAGTAGGGATAAGATAGAGGCATTTCAAAGTCCACACATCTAACGCCATTCCTCTTTGCCATGACTACAGCAAGCAAAGAGTTTAAGTAGATCTGATTAGTTCTCTCTCTCATTCTAAATGCTGACTTTAGTCCTTTTTCTTTTAATTTGTCCATGGAAACTTCTCTCTCCCTTTCTCTGACATTTGGTGGCCAGGTGTGTAACTAAGTGCCTACTATGATATAGGCTTCCACAGAACAGAGATTATGTCTTGATCACTGGTGTAACTCATTCTAGCAAAGTGTATCAGGCCTCAACCCCAACATTTAGGTGCAACATTTAGGTGATGTAGACACACATATATATATTTTGAGAAAAAAATCCATAGTTGTTCCAATAATCTCCCTGTTAAGAACCTCTGCACTGGCTGCATATACACTCAACAGAGGTGCTGTCATCATCACAATTATCATCATTGCTACAATTTGCTATCTGTGCCCATATATCAGGATCCATACTATTCCACAGAGAAATTTCTGTCATTGTTTCTGTTTTACAGAAGAGGAAACTGTAAGTGAGGTTTAGGGCAGTTAATCCACCTTGTTTAAGCTGGTGGCAGAACCAAGATCTGTCTCACTTCAAAGTGCTGCCTTTACGCACTGAGCTAAAACACATTCAGCTTCCACGACAGGCACTGCATTGGGCATGCCAACCCACCTGCATGCAGTTAAAATATGGGTCCTAATGCAAATTTAAAGGCCCAATTTTTCTCAAAAGTCTTGGAACAACTGTGTAGTTGGCTAACCAAATTACAATTTTTATTTATTTTCCCCAACTTGTCATCCTGAAAAATGTCAAGCACACAGAAAACGGTGGTAAGACTAATAAACGCCATATAGTCTTCTCCCATTGATACTCCACCAACCTGCCCTATTCCTCTCACTGTGTATGCATACACATGGTTATCGATCTGTATGATGCTTCTGAATCTGAGGAGAGCCATAGTCATTATGGTACTTCTCTCCTACACAGCATAGTATGTCTAAGAAGGACATCCCCCAACAAAATGACAACAAGCATATTCAGAAAATGTAATCCTAATGCACAATTAGCTAATACACTTAGTAAGATATCTAACATTTATTATTGTGTTGCTGTTTTTAATCACCAGGCCCAGGATCTAGAAATTATATATGCTTCACTCTTATTTAATCTAGATTCTAGATATTCCCCAACTTTCTATTTTCCTAAGGCTCATATGTTTCAAGGATGCAGGTCAGTTTCTTTTTTTTTGAGGGGTAGAATTTTCCCATTTGGGTATGTCTAGTTTCTTCACTATGATCAAATTCAAGTCAAGTATGTTTGGAGGGAGACTAAACACAAGCAAGAAATAGAGCTATGTCCCTCTCATGTATTACTCAGGAGGCGCATGATGTCAGTGTGCTCTTTGGGGATGATGTGTTTGGCCATTTGCTTAAAAGAGGCAAACTGCAGCTTCATGTGTGTTTATAAATAAGGACATATGCACATATATTTTTAAGAATTAAGACATGTGTAACACACTGGTTATAGCTGAGTTTCAAGAAATAATATGCACACATTTAACGGATTATGTTATTTTCTGTCAAGTCTAAAAAAAATGTTGATTATGTCTACTCAATCTCATTGGCAACCTGTAGTTTGAAAAATACTACTCTAGATCTTGGGTATATTCATACAACTTAGCTTAGAAGTTCTGTCACAGGTGAGAAATGAAATGTCATTACAAAAAACCCACTTGGCATACAAATATGATTACTAAGTACAAGGCTAGCTTGCCAAAAACACTAGAATGATCTGTGCTATGCACAAGCAACAATATTTCCAAAAGCCCCTAGTAAAAATAAAACCATTGAGAATCTACTCAGTACCAGGCAATGCATGTGCTGTATTCTCTGACTGTTTACAGCAGTCCAATTAAGTTGATATTAACCACAGTTTAGATGAAAAAAAAACATGCTCAGACATGTCTATTGACTGACGAGGGTCACACTCTTGGGAATGAATTGGGATCTGAACTAAATCTTGCATTAATGCTCATGATTACTTCTGTGCCACCGGAGGCACTGTATTTCAAAGGAACAGACAGACTTACCATCTGACAATGTTCGAACAGCAACATCTTGTGTGGAGACACCAGGACCATGTTTATTGTAGGCCACCACTCGGAAATTATACTCCGTATATTTTTTCAACCCATTAATGGTGTGAGAGAGACTTGAAACATCAATATCCTTAAATAAAATAAAACAATTTATATATATACACACACACATATACATACTCAATTTATACACACATACACACACACATTCACTACTCAAGCCAAAAGAAGTGCTGCACTATAAGGAATTATACAAAATTTATATTGAATGCAAACTAGCTTTTCATTTCTTTTGTAGACTTATTTTACAGTCAAAGCAGATTAATCATAAATATTGGCAATTTACTTAGACATATTGCTTGATGTTTAGTGACCCTTACTGGTAAAAACCTTGGTACAAAGAAATGAATCTACTGACTCTGCATTTCCTATACATCATTTTCCCCATTAGATTTATCGACAAGAAACTTTTAAGTTCTGGAAATATATTTCAACTTTACTATTCTAATCAATGTACTGGAAAATAACATCATTTTTTACCTGTTCTTTATCAGTCCCTTTTTCCATGTAGTACAATTTGTAATTCTGAATTTCCCCATTCCCAGACAGTGGTGTTTCCCAGGTGATGGTGATGGAAGTGGGTGAAACTGCATATGCTCGGATGTTAGGTGCTGGGCCAGGGAGCTGAACTGGAAGGAAAATTTCAAGAGAGCAAGACATATGAAATTTTACTGCATCCTTCAATAGCCATTCTCAGCAATAACACTATACTGTATTAAGTTTAAAAACTAAGTAGTGGTTTCATAAACATAGTTTTGGAATTACTATCCATTTCCCTTTATGATTAAACTTAAAACCAAAAATTATCTGTAAGTTATCTCAAATTTATTCAAAGAAAAGAAATGAAAACTGTAGAATTCTTGTGGTATATATAAATTACCAGCTTTGTGGAAGGACTGTATAGCAGATAAGAGCAATCATCACAGAAAGAGCCCTTTCTGCCAGATAGATGTAGAATGATGAAAAGAGTTCCTGCCCACCAAGAACATCCAGTCTAGTAGGGATGTCAGACATAAATACATACAAATAATGTCAAAAGTGCAAGCAGCTATGTAATGATCACAATGAAGAGAGAAGAGTATATAACTTTGCTCCATGACGGCTGGGTAGAAAAGGGAAGGCTGGTAAAGACTTCTGGGGGCTAAGGAAAATGAATACTTTTCTCAGGTACCAAGGGAAAAACTATCCCAGTAAATGTCAGTGAAGAGGATGTAGGAGAAAACCATGTTAATATGGCTATGATTAAAAGACAACAGATGTCGGCCCTTCCTGGTGGTGCAGCAGGTTAGAGGACAGCACTAAGAAGCTAAAGCCACTTCAGCATGAGTTTGAGCCCTGCCTGGAGGTGACCCACATGGCATGGGAGACCTCTCCTGACCTACCCAGTGGTCCCCTCAGCAGTGTACTTCAACAGTTGGCCTGTTCTACTCCCCAATCTGTTGCTGGTGGGTCCTCTCACTGCTCCTGCACCTCTGGCCTATACCCCAGTTCTGTATGCATAAATAAATAAATCTTTAAAAATAAAGATAGCAGATCATGGGAGAGATAATGATTAACAGGATGACAAGAACCAGTTAATGAAGAACATCTTACTAGGGAGTTTGGACTATTTCTAGTAGGTGTTAGATAGTTACCGAAAAATTGTGAATAGGAACATACATGATGTGGTCAGATCTGTGTTCAGAAAGACATGTCAACATACCATGTAAGAACAGTGCCAAGGGAACAAGACTAGGTAAAGGAATATAATTAAAAAAATAGCTGCTTAAAGGAGTTCAGCATTTAGAGATTTATATTTATTAAGTGACATCTTATTTACCTTTGCACTCAACCCTACTTACAGATGAGGCTGAGAGACTGAGAACCATTTCCAAATGATGGGGTATTAGTGAGTGCTGGAGTAAGGAGGTAAGCACTCTCTGACTCTAAAATATGGCTGAGGAAGACCAATGAGACAGCCATAATTCCTCCCATCAGATACGTATGATGGAGAATCAACTGTCTGTCTGGTTCTAACCCCTTCATTTGGTTCACATACCTTATGATTCTCTTTTTGACTGACTGACAGTTTCCAATCTCAATCTATACACAAATTCTGGGTAACTGTCTATGTTTACACTTTGTAAATATTCTATATTTGAATACAATTTCTCTGGTGCTAGGTTTCAGTAACAGGCATCCATTAAAGTGAAAGAAAGGGAGAAAACTAACAAAATGTATGATAAACTGGCTGTCTTAAATAACAGCAACACAGCTTAAGATTAGTTTTGCTACCAAAGTAGAGAAGCCTGAATATGGTTATTTTAGCAGTTGTTTCCTTTATTTAGTCATGAATCATGTTATTCACTTAATGTGAACAGCATATTTTGTGCAGCCTGACAGGTGGGATTTGTCTCACTTCTGCTGCTATGGAAAACTTTCTTCTAACTTATTAAAGGTGAAGAAAAACAAAACAGTTCCCAAATTCCCTTGAAATTACTATCAATATATTCATTGGCTAAATATACGCAAGTATGATCCTAAAAAAAAGATGCTAATAAATTCTTTCCTTTCAGCAGTACAGTGGAATTATATATATATATATATACATATATATATATATATATATATATATATACATATCAAATGGTTTGTGAAGCTAAATATAAATAAACTATTTTCCAAGGGCTGACTCCAACACTTACACCTCCTCACACAAGTTGAATACTTCCAGATGAAATACACATCTCTCTACACAAACTCCTCTCTGTGAAAATGTATGAGTCTCTCTCCATTCCTAAAATATCCTCACTGAACTGTTGCCCCTTTCCTGTACATTTTTATTTAGTTATTTTTAAGTAAACTCTATGAACAAAGGACTGTGCTGTCTGCTTCCTTTGTGAGACAGCCGCATTGTCATTTTATTTAACTGGGTCCCAGAGTGAAAGTTCCTGTGATCAGATGTCTAGTCTTATTCATCTTTACACCCTGACTGCCTAGCACAGTGACCAGCACATGCCAATCTTCCTCATGTCTTTTCTTTCATCTTTAAATTTGACAGTGACCCTTCTAGTGGTTTGCAAGTTTGACTCAAGTTTTGATGTAATCAAAGCCACAGACTCTTTCCTAAGAAAAATGTGAATATGACCACAGAAATATATTCATATGGATCATAGTCCTAGGATGGAATTCTGGGACCATATCAAATTCAATGGTTGCTTCATTCATTTTTTTTTTTTTAAGATTTATTTATTTGTGGACCTCCCTGGTGTCACAGTGGCTAAGGATGTGGCCCTGCAAGCTAGCCGCAGCGGCTTCAGTGTGAGTTCCATCCCCTGCCCCAGAGGTGATCCACATGGCAAGGCAGACCTCTCCTGACCCGCCTGCTGCTCCCCTCAGCAGTGTGCTTCATCAATCTGCCTGTTCTGCTCCCACTCTGTGTCTGGTGAATCCTCTCACTGCCCCTGCACCTCTCGCTTGCACCCCAGTTCTGTATGCATAAATAAATCTTTTAAAAATTTTTCATTAAAAAAATTTATTTATTTATTTGTGCATACAGAACTGGGGTATAGGCCAGAGGTGCAGGGGCGGTAAGAATATTCACAGAGTGGGAGCAGAAGAGCCAACTGACAAAGTACACTGCTGAGGGGAGCAGCAGGCTGGCCAGGAGAGGTCTGCCGCGCCTTGTGGATCACCTCTGAGGCAGGAGGGGATCGAACTCATGCGTAAGTGACTTTAGCTTCTTAGTGCTAAGCTTTAACCTGCTGTGCCACCAGAGAGGGCCCGTTTTGTTCATTTTTATCACAATTCCCTTGCGTGTGCACTGTTTGATCCTATTTCGGGGATCTGGGTCATACAGTTTCCTCCCCCGAGAATATTTAGTCTAAGTCAGATGCTTCAAGGTCGACCTCGGGTCTCCTCTTTTCCTAGGAACCTGCTTTGATTTACTTATCTTTCACAGAAATTGTCCATTGCTCTGTATCCCAACATCTTTCATATGGCACCTGTTCATGAAGGTAATGTAGAAATACTGACTAACAGTTTCTGCTTCTATCTGAATGTACTAACTGTGAAATTCGACCTCCTTTCCCTGTAACAAGGACACATTCTTTCCTTAACTCAACCCTGACTCTCTGATGGTACTCTTGTTTTGGCTGGGTCTGAATCCTGATCTTTAAATTCTATCACTGAAATGATCATTAGCCTCCTCTTGACTGCTCCCTCGGTAGGGGCAGAATCCTCTTCTGTTCATCTCCTGGATCTTAACACCTTGGGATCGTGTCTGTTGTAGGAGATGTTCAATCAGTGTTTGATAAATGAATGATCTGCTGTAGCATCAGTGAGTTAGTGAGTAATTCTATAGCTTCTAGATTTTACTTATTCCACCCATCAGGGTAAAGTCCTTGAGCTATTTCCATAGTTTTATAGGCAAATTCTTCAACCTGTTTAGTTCTCTGGTCAGTAACTTCTGCAAATATATCTCATATGCCCCTTAATTGAAGTAAAATCTCTATTACAACTTGTTAATATAGAAAACACAGTACAGCTAATAGTAAAAGGGAACTGGAGAAGATTCTAAGGAAAAACAGTGACTTTGTTAAAGGAAGGAAAAAGTGTAGATGAAAGTCTCAATGGGAAAAGCATTAATTATTATGAAATTGCTTCTTTTTTCAACCTAGGGCTATAGTTTTCAGTCAAAATTTAGGATATACAAGACATTTATAATAGAATCCAACACTTATCTCAGTTGCAGAACATCTTAAAAAATATGAGTAGAAGTAACACTGTTTGGTACAAAAAGCCCATAGCTCCAAAGTAAACCTTTAAAGGGATTCTCAAGAGTGTGATGAATATAAACATCAGAGCAATCTTTTTGACTTTCTGTTTGAATACAGTTATGAAACACGTATCTCAAATGCAAAGCATTTTATCACACATTGACAAAAACAAAAGGATTGTGTCTTTGCCATAAAACAATGTACATTCATATGATAACTTAAGGAAGAAAGTGATACTATAATCTTAAGATTACAGACAAGCAATATTAGATAGGATCTAAGGAAAGATTCTACAAGGAATCTGAGCTAGGTCTTACAGGATGGATAAAATTTAAGTATGTATCAGAATTATATTGTCTTACACTATTTGCTACTCTTTTTACCTGAATTAATTTTGTCTCCCCTTACAGATGAAGAACTGTTTAATTCCATACCCTACGATATGAAAGACTACTCAAAGGGCAGACCTTAAAGGATTACCTATAGGTGGGGGCTGAAGGTGGTGGAAGACTTACCTTCAGGCTGGGTTTCTACTCGCAGTGGAGCTGAACTCTCTCCTGAGCCATGCTTGTTATGAGCCATAACTCTGAAGATGTACACAGTTGCTGGCATTAGGTTTTGAATGGTTACCTGCATTTCTCCTGGGCGACTGGTATTCTCAACACGCTCCCTTTGGACAAAGAAAGAACATCAATTAGGAAAATTTCTAGGAAGTAGTTTCATTTTCATTGCAATGCCGATAGACACACCACATCAAAATCTTACTAATGTTAACTCTCAAAAATTAAACTTCTACGGTGGAATAGTATTTAATAAGAGTAAAGAGACTGGCAAAGAGCAATGGAATCTGCACGTGATAATGTGCTGACCAACATTCTTGCTTGACCTTTACTGAGCTCTGGTCATATTCACCATTTACTTTCAAAAGTAAAAAGAAGAGGGTCTTCTCAATGCCATTTTAAATGGGACAGCTGGTCATCAATTTTGCAGATTTCTGGAAACACTGAGTTTTAAGCGGTGATTCTCAGGGAGTCAAACAGAAGCTGATAGGGATGACCCAATTTTCACAGAAAATATAAGAATACTGTGCATATTTGGGATAGTAAAGATCCTCAATAATAAGAAACTAGATGTGATCACTTTTAAAACATCAAACATTTAAATGAATTCTTAAAGCAATCTAATCTGTAAAATAAGTCATCGTGATGCTGATTTTCAGAATTTATTTCTTAGATATTCTTTTCTTAAAAAAAATTTATGCATACAAGAACTGGGGTGCTGGTCAGAAGTGTGGGGGGAGGGGTGGTGTGGTGGTGAGAGGTTTCACCAGAGACAGTGGGGGAGCAGAACAGGCAGACTTACTGAAATAACAATGTTGAGGGGAGCAGGGGGCAAAACAGGAGAGGTCTGCTGCACCATGTGGGTCACCTCACCGGCTGGGATCAAACTCATACTGCAGTGGCTGTGGATAGCTTCATAGTGCTGTGCCACCAGGGAGGCCTCTTAAATATTCTTTTTAAAGGATTTTAAAACGAATTTGAAGTGCTTAATATATCTTATCACAAACAGTACAGTCTAGTGTTATCAGATAAAAATATAAAAGCAATGACCCAGATTCTATTCTGGGGCATCTGTATGTTCATACGTAGGCCCATAATTCTGCTCCCTATAACAAAACCAAGAGTTTTCAACAACTATTGTGAAGGAATTGTGTTAGAACAGTCAAATCTGTGAGATGATCTGATCTAACTTGAAGAAGTAATAAAAGGGTCAAAACTACTCTGTGGAAGAAATTACTTGGAATTATCAAAACAGTTAAGTCAAAATTCTTATTTTAAACTACTGACATTACTAAAATTAGTTTAGGTTCACAATCTGACTGTTAACAACATTTCAATTTCAGAGAGCTGTGCTTTTCAACACTTATCTCTAAACTACCTTATTTTCTTTAAACTACCTTATTTTAATACAAAGAAACCCAATACTCATATTCTATTTATAGAGACTGTTAGTCTTAAGGCCACTGGAAAAGAGTATTTTGCTAATAAAGGCTAATGCTCACAGATACTTAAGATACTTATAAAATTATTTTCTCATCAGCTAAACCTCTAAATCACAAGATGTATTTAGGAGGATAGCAATAGATTTCTAACACTTCAAATTGTCTGGCACTTGGTATGATCATAAAAGGAAAGATGTTGTTTGATTCATTACCCTACTATAAATTCCGTATGAGAGCATAGATTATGTCTGTCCTGCCTACTGTATACATAAAGGTGTCGACAGATTCTCTTCTAGAGAGGCAATGGGCAGTAGAGTGGGAAAGCTATTTTACTACAATTTGAAGTGAAATGTCCTCTCCTTTATGTTCACATACAGAAACAGTAGAATGATCAAAAATTCCACTAAGTAGAAAATACCACACATGTGTTAAATGAGTATAAATTTGCCATCTGACATAAATTATGTACAATGATGATGGCATGGATACCTTTTGTTTGTTTCTATGTAAAAGGGGGGGAAATTTAGGAGAAATGAGTGAAGGGACTGAAATATAAGACAAATTTCTACGGCAGCAGTCCATCTCCCTCCTCTCAAAAATAATTATTCATAGGTGTGATTAGCCATGGTAGAATATATAGCACCTTAAAATTCTTCCAACACTGAACTGGTTTGAGAGCCCAGAAAAAAGATTTTCTGTAGGGAAAAAAACCTTTTGACTTCAAAATAGGAGCCAGGGAGAATTTAAAGGACAAGTCATAGGATATGTAGGATTGCAGTGGTACTTAGGTCAGAATGTGTCAACTAAGGGTCAAGAAAGAAAGAGGTATATGTTATAGTGCAGTTCCAGTTTTTTGTTTTTTTTTTTAAGATGTATTTATTTATGCATACAGGCCAGAGGTGCAGGGGCGGCAAAAGGATTCACCAGAGACAGAGTGGGGAACAGAACAGGCAGGCTGAGGAAGTACACTGCTGAGGAGCAGAAGGGGGGTCAGGAGAGGTCTGCAGCGCCCTATAGATCACCTCAGGCCAGGGATCGAACTTGCACTGAAGTGGCTGCAGCTAGGTTGCAGTGCTGAGCTCTAACCCAATGTGCCACCAGGGAGGGCCCACAGTTCCAGCTCTGACAGCACAACAGCTTGACAAGTCTCAAGTCACTAGTTCTTTCTGGGTCTTTGTTTCTTTATATATTAAATGGAAGAATGAGACCAGAATGGCAAAAAATAAATAAATCTAATATGGGACAAGTGACAAATGGAAAATAGCATGCAGTTACACACACACACATACAACACACACACACATCCTAGTGGAACCATTTAAAACCGTAAGAACTATCTTTTGCAAATACACAAAATTAAGAATGATGTTAAACAAAACAAAACAAAAAAATACTATCTTTTGTTCCTGGTCCACAAATAAAAGTGTGACCTGGACCAGCAATCCATAGTTTGCCAAATCCCTGACTAATAATTACCTATGGATTTAGCCAATCTCTAAAATGGTGTTAATTTCTGGAATGACTTACTATTATCCATTTAGTGATTACTATTAGGAGAGTAATATTATCTAGATTACACGGATTTTCTAAAAAGGCGAAAACTTCAGAGCTGAAAAGACAGAGAAAGGAACTTCGCCAATGTCTGGAAACCGAGGTACCACAAGCGCGGCATGTGATCAAGGCACATAATGCCACCTGGTGGTGAAATTCTCAATTGCAGGAAGGGGAATTTGTAAATGCAGGTACTGGCACAGGTTTTCACTGAATTTTTACTTATTGCCTGTGAAAAAAACTACCATCCTCATTTTTCAGATGAGAAAGATCAAGCTTATAAAGTCTAAATGAAATGTTTATAAAACAAGTAAATAGAATACAGTCTTCAGACAGTGTTTTAACATTCATATTCAGAAATTATAAACTCAATGACGTGACAAAAAAATATTGGTCTGCAGGAATTCTCTGTCCACTAAGGTTACTGCTTTTAATGCTATTCATATACACCCACCACTAAATGAACTTAACTACTGCCTAACAATCACCCTGACTCCATTTCATCCCCCCTCTAATCTTGGGCAGTGTTCTGAAAGCACTACTAAAACGAGTCGCTTAATAAAAACCACAGGCACACGTGCTCAGGAATTTACAAAGGGTTCCTGCTGAACTGATTGTGCCCAAATTCTTAGTAGTAATTCAGCATTTGACTCCCCTTTATTATAATTTCTAACTGGTACCCCAAACATGACCAATTAGGCTAGTTTTCTTTCTTTCTAATCCTTCAAACACCAGGGATATAAATTAAATTGGATTCTTATCTTGTGCCTCCTCTTCCTTTATATATATAGTCCTCCTTACCTGCCAATTAAACTTTTATGTTTTTTTAATTTCAACTTCCTTATTAATCATTCCTGTTTATTTCTTTTAAAATGTCTTTCACATTCAAACGACAAAATTTCTACTTTTCTTATATAAGTTTTAAAAAAATATCTCAATCTACCTATACATGTCAGAGATAGAACTGCTCCCAATAATAATTACCAGCATAACTTTTAAAAGAATTCACTACTTAACAGACATTTATTTCATGTTACTTATATAACAGGTTCTGCTACTGGAAATACTCATTGAACAAGAATGATACCATAAGTACACTAATAAAAAGACAAAATAAGTGCTTTGGGGAAAAAAAGTGATGTGACAGCAGTGATTTAGTGGTAAGCATTTAGCAACTGGCTCAGGTTTGCAGCACTTACTGTTGTAAATATTTCCACCAGGGCCAATTTCAAGCTACCACAATTTCCTGAACTTTGTCATCAGATTTGAAAAATTTCCCCAAATTTAATAACTGATTTGGGATCAACTGGCTTCAGCTGTGTGAGAAGGGTAAGCTAGGTGGGCATCCATGGAAAGCCTGAGCAGCAGCATGTAAGAATATCAGACAAAAGCCAAAGTCATTTATGAAAGAAATGCCTATCTGGCAGAAAGAACAGGATGAAAGCATTTTGTCCTAAGGAGTCAGTGAATGCTTCCTTAAGTTCGGTGAATGCCTGTGAAATTTGTTAGGAGACTTCAGTCTACTGGAAACACTTGAATATAATTACTGTTTGGTAGTGATGACTTGCCTTTTTGTGTCTGGAATTGTTTCCTTATGTTTCTAATACCCAGGACATCCAGTACAGTAGAGAGTTCAGATACACATTACCATCTAGCTGGCTCAAATCGCTCAGACTTCTCAAGAGTATTAAATCAAGGGATCTTGAGGAATTTCTGTACTTGTTGAGTTTGCCAGTATAATATTAAATATTATGTATGCCAAATACAAGCACCTTAGCAGAAATACAAGATTTATTTTATGTGTTTGTGTCATGTGTTAGCATCTTATTCTGGTGTGAGGTACAGTACACTGAAGGAATCTACACAGCAATGTTTACAATGCACAGCTTTTAGCATACTTACTCCTTCAGAACTTATAAACTGGGAACATAGGACAAGTGCACTTGGTAGAACAATTTATGGTGGTATAAGATTATGTGTTACAATTAAGTGTCAGTGACACAAACTAATTAGTAACATATATAAGAGCAATGTTGTATGTGCTGAAAATGGTGGGAAAAGTCTGATGAAAACTTCATGAAGAGAATAGACTGTGAATGAAAATACATTAAACTGGGATTAGGGTGGGGAGAAAAATAAGGTGGAACAGAAAAAATGCTAGCACCCAGGGATCCTGGATCATCTCCTGGAAGCAGTGAAGAGGCACTGTAAGTTCCCAATGCAGAAGGGGAATTTAATAAAAATGCTGTTCTACAGAAAATAATTGCTTATTAATCATGTCATCAAAGAGATACCTTGGAGTTCAGCAGCTTACATTCACAGAAGGGGATACAGGCAGATAAATTAAATCCACCATAATTTCTAGAATCTGAGTGCTCTAAGTAAGCCACAGGATGTGTAGAGTGAATCTTAGGAAAGAAAAAGGGTAGCCCCTTTTTACAATTTAAACTTTTATCACTTCAGCTAAATAGCTATATCTACTGTCTCCCCAAGTCATCCCAGAAAAGCAAGAAAGAATATTTGAATTGCAGACTTATCTAGGAATGTACTTTTAAAGATGTAAAAAGATATAGAAGAGATGTATCTCAACAGCTATTTTCTGGAATAAATATTGGTACAAATCCCATACCACAAGCACTGCACACAGGCAGGTACTTACCTAGCAACACCCTCCTTGGTGTAGAAGACAGAGTAGGTTAGGTTGTCCCCATGAGGATCTGATGCAGGTGTCCGCCAAGTCAATTTGATGAAGCGGGTGGAGACCAGGGAGGCCACGACATCCCGAGGAGCTGAAGGCAGTGGTCCAGTTGTGGCTGGTGCTAGATGGTCAGTAGTGGCACTGGTCAGTGAAGTGGGAGGTAATGTTGGGATGGCAACATCTTGTCATGTGCAAACATTGGGGAATATGAAGGGCAAACCACGATGTTTTTAAAAAAGAGAACAGAAAAAACAAAACAAAAAGAAATAAACAAAACCACGATGGGAAATAAAATAAAATGAGTGAACATAAAAAAGGCCATTAAACTGAAGGCTAACATGCAGGCCAGGGGTAATTACTGAAAACTAATAGGCATCCTCAAGACACACCACTGGAGAGCAAGCAGACTTCCTGGCCACTATAATGGGTGTGGGCAAGGGAGAGGGAGAGTGTCAGCTGAGAAAAAGTCTCACAGAAGGACACAGCAGTGCCCCTGAAAGAAGCATGCAACATCTGTCAAACTATGTACATACAAGCCTCACATATATTAACACCTCTATATTTTCTCCTATTTTATTAAAGTAGGAGGAATGTGTGGTATGAACCTAGTTACACTCAACAGGCACTGGTCATTGAGACCTCACCAAGGAACTTGTGTGTCTTCAGCACTGCAGGAGAGCTGAAAGTCACATCTTTCTTCAACCTCAGTCTAATGCTACATTGTGTTGTAGGCAGTACCCATGGAAGTCTGATGATTGCCTCCCTCACTTTGGGATAATGAATGATACAAATGATCCCTGAAAGCAGTCTTCATACTATTTTAATAAAAAAACAAAACAGTGAACTAAAGCTCTGGTCCCTATAAAAAATATTTACGTATTTTAGTTTTGTTATATTCACTTGTTTCCTTTTTTAGGAACATCTATACTTTCAGTAAATGTTTGTCCCAAAACTGAATAAATAAAAACAAACAGAACACTCAAGAACAAAGACATGTAATTCTGGGGATATGAAGGACTTTGAAATATGAATTAATATCACAAGGAAACTTTTCAAGCTGACTTTCTAAAGAGGAATCATTTAATTTTTAGGAAAAGGAGGACTTTTAAACATAAAATTTGACAGCCCTCCCTAACATTCTAAGATAAAGTGAAAGTAATATTTTTACTAGTAAGTATAGACTGTTCAACTTCCAAGTAAATCTTAAATTATTTTTTCCTTATTTTTAAAAAGATCACCCAATATACTTGCTTTTGCAAGCACGTTACACGCATTCAACTCTAAATTTCACACAGTAAGCCCTCACACTTTTTTTCTTATTAATTTTGAACTTATATAAAGTTCTACCTTTCCAGCTTCTTTATATCATTGACAAAACAGTTGGCTCCAGGTTACCACTAAGATGTACAGTGATTGGTGCCAATGAAGCACAGCCTGTACTCTGGATTCCTCAATAAAGGAAAATTGCTCATGGATATAGGAAACACTTCTAATTCCACTCAGGTTCTAGAAGTGGATGTAGGAATGATAAGGCTGAAGTGTATCACCACTTCAATGGAAAAACATGAAACAGCTGTTTTTTAAAACTCAGTTCAAAAATTCTCAACTTTTCAACATTCTTTCTTCTCCCTCTCTTTTTTTTTTAACTGACACTTTATGTACGATTTACAAAAAAAAAAAAAAAAAGACAGTGAAAGTACATTGGCATTTCAGATAGCATCTCTATGTCACTGTCATCAGAATAACTAGAAGGTTAAAGCAAGACGTTACTATTCTAATTGCCACTGATCAGGCACTGATAGGTGTTTATCCCATTCTGAAATTAATGGAAAGATAAATGCATGAATATTCAAATATTTCAGAGTACATCTTTAAAATTTCTCTAGTGGGTCCTGCCCCACAATTCTGATAGAGAGGTTCTTTTTCTCCCACTGTAAACAGCTCAAAGAAAGCAATAAAAAAACTTTGAGACTCAGGGAAAACAGTTAAAGAACACTTAATCTGCTTAAAGACATTCATATGAAGCACACTCAACAGGAAAACAACAATTAGACTATTTACTCATGGCACTTTATTAAAAATGAGAACACTAACAGAATGTGAAAAAGGTATCAAATAATTTGTTCCTGAGAGTAATCTGTCACATAAAGGAGCTACTGAAAACTACGTGGAAGTTCCAATGAATTCAAGGCTTGTACACAGGTTGTTCCTAGTGGTGTCTCTCCATAGGGCAGGCATATTTCTGGAATTGTGTAAGCAGTAAAAGACACAAATTTCTTCTCCCTTTCCCAAACTAATACAATTTATCATTCTATTTTCAAAGTTAAAAATATAACTATACTACACTTAAAAAGAACTAAAGAAGAAAATTGCTACACAGTAACAATTTAGACTTAATATCCCCTTATACTTTCACAATCTGATTTATAAACACCTGCTTTCAGATAAAGAAAGAGCCCCAGTCCCTGTCTAGACTCGGGTATACCCCTTTTTGGCAGATGCCCCATGTGGGAGTGAGTGTTAAATATCTTAATATTTTTACAGATTCTAAAGACTCAAAGCACATGCATGAAAGAAGATCTAGAGATCTTCTTCAAGGGCATCTTTTAAAATTAGTAGTAATTTGTTAAACATAAATTTCTCTTAGATAGTAAAATGGGATGTCTTGTGAGGAAGACTGTCCTATAACTGGAAGATGTTAAGAATTCCTATAAAGATAATCACTGTGTAAATAAAATTTGTGATTAAAAACTTCTATGATTTTTAAAAAAGATTTTTGCATAGAACTAGAGTGTAGGCCAATGATGCAGAAGGTGAGAGGATTCACCAGAAACACAGTGGGGAGCAGAACAGGTAATCACTGAAATACACAGCTGAGAGGAGCAGCGGGTGAGACTGGTGAAGTCTGCTGCATTGCAGCATATGTGGGTCATCACCCTGGTTAGTGGCTAAACTCAGGCAGTAGCGGTGATAGCTTGATAGTGCTCAGACTTAACCCCTCCCCTAGACTACCAGGGAGGCCCCAAATTCTATTTTTTAAAACAATAAAACAGCTAATAAATCTAAGAGATTCTGTATTTAACCCCCATTTGTTTGAAACAGAACAAATTTCATTGTTACATACTATTAAAGAGAAAGAAACCATACAGCAATTAGTTTTGTGAAATCAATGTGAATGTCAAGGACTTGACAGATATGTGCTATCTTCCTTCTAGGTTTAGTGACAGAAACAATGATCTATTTACTTTTGATTTTTTGTTATGGAAAGGGTACTGGGAATGTTTCACAGTTGATACTCTTCTCCCCATAGAGGATTTGACTTGGGAGTAATCTTCCGTATTATGAACATTATTATTTAATTTCTAGAAGGAGAAATCAAAACATTTACTTAGCATGAAAATACCTGCAAAATATTCTGAACTTTCTTGAATTTTTCATGCAAATTCAGATACCTTTATTGATGTCAGCATAATGAGAAGCCTTTATCTAATTAATTCTAAAACTATCTGCCATTTCTGGATATTCATAAGTATTGATACAACAAAGGGATTCAAATTGATAAACTCAAGATCCTTATTCATATTTAAATAGACTCTATACAAATATTTATAAGTCAGCAACCCTGATGCAGCAATTCATTAAAAGGATATATTTCTGTATTAAAGTCAAAAATAAACTGAATAGGCCCTCCCTGGTGGCCCAGCGGGTTAAAGCACAGACTAAGAACCTAAAGCCACTTCCGCATGAGTTCGATCCCCGCCTGCCCCTGGAGGTGACCACATGGCGCGGCAGACCTCTCCTGACCGGCCCGCTGCTCCCCTCAGCAGTGCACTTCGTCAATCTGCCTGTTCTGCTCCCCACTCTGTCC